GACCCACACTAACACGGTAGCATAATGAGGGTCCCTACCTTCAAACCGAAGCATTGAGAACTTTGTAAGTGTACAGACAGTTTAATAAGAAGATATTTTAAACATACAGTCAACTTCGCGTATACAGGCAGAAGCCATCTTTGAAACACAGCCTTTACCAGTCGATCTACGAACGCCGATCCAAGTGCGCTGGTGAGAATGATAAGGTGAGCGCGAACAGCAGGCTTGGATCGGCGTTCGTAGATCGACTGGTAAAGGCTGTGTTTCAAAGATGGCTTCTGCCTGTATACACGAAGTTGACTGTATGTTTAAAATATCTTCTTATTAAACTGTCTGTACACTTACAAAGTTCTCAATGCTTCGGTTTGAAGGTAGGGACCCTCATTATGCTACCGTGTTAGTGTGGGTCTATTTTCAGCCTTGTTAGGTATTAACAAGCGATTTTTATTTGTCATTACACTATGCCCAATATACTAGCGTTATACTAGCTTTATAGACTAAACTGTTTTTAGAGATAAAACTATTTACATTCGATAATCTTGAAAACAAATCTCAGATAACGGTTGACTAGGTAACAATGTGTAATTAGACCAAAGGTTCATTTTGCGCCGGAGTTCTCCTTTAATTGTTTTATTCATGTAGAATTGTGCATGTTCAGCGCTAGGTGGGGATGTTTCCCTTTATATTGAATTTAATTGAAATGTTCTGTTTTTCATTGAGTGATTTGTGATTAATTCATTTAAGATGTTTATTATAACTTCTCACCTTCAAAAATGATCCACTATACAATCACAAAGCTAAAATATTTCATGAGTTAAAAAGGATTAAAAATAAAATTGTTTAAAATGATTTACTGATTTACTCTCTATGCATTGGATCCCTTATTTCCACGTTTTGTTTCCTCATTGTGCAGACCGCCCAGACAAGACCGTCATACCTAGGTAAACATTTTAGTTTAGGTAAACCATTTAACTTTTGTGCTGGTTTTTCAAAGCAACATGGGATGCGGCTCACCCAAATCCCCTTCCATTTTCAATTTATTATTAGGCCTAACAGTCAGGCCCTCATCTGACCCATAACAAGTAAATACAAACAAACACATATATATATATGCAATAATAAGGGATGCAGTTGTTAGAAACTACTTTACTGGTTCATCTCTGATGATTGTCTTTGTAAACTAATACATACACAGTAATAATAAATTACAGTTAAATAATTAGTTTTTGTTTGATACTTTACTGCACTGAAAGAATAAAAGGTCACTTAATGTCTATCGACTTTATCACTTTATAACAAAAGGTGCAAAATATAAAAGTGTACAAACTATACACATGATACAAATGTTGTTTTATTTGACCAATTTTAATGTTTTATTACATTTTGTTCCTAAAATCCTCTCTGAATCTACCTTCAGGATAATCTTTTGTTTTTGTCAAAGGTATCCGATTTCAAAATCCTTTTTTCCCTTTAAACAACCCATTTTCAAGATTTGATTCAATCCGATAGATTAAATCAATCCGATCTAATTTCTTTTGAACAACTAGGCCCAGATTGCTTTAGATTATCAGCACAAGTCAGCGTATAGAGAGAGAGAGAGAGAGAGAGAGAGAGAGAGAGAGAGAGAGAGAGAGAGAGAGAGAGAGAGAGAGAGAGAGAGAGAGAGAGAGAGAGAGAGAGAGAGAGAGAGAGAGAGAGAGAGAGAGAGAGAGAGAGAGAGAGAGAGAGAGAGAGAGAGAGAGAGAGAGAGAGAGAGGAAATGACTCCACATTCTATCCAATGGTCTCTAGTCTTTTGAAAACCTCCATTCTTAATGTGCCAGTTTCTCAAGCTTTATGGCCAAAGTGATGGCCTTCTAGCACAATGACCTCTCTGTATCACAGCTGTGTAGCATTAAAAATTGGATATTTAAGTCATTTCTGCTAAAGCTGCTCTTCTTAAGAAGAAATCAGCTAAGAGCTTTCCTCCACATGTTGAATGCTTATGTGCCTGTGGCTCTTTCAACTTTTATTTGGCAAAAGTTAAAAGCACTTCAGCACAAGTCCACATGTAAGTCAAATATCTTACATTACAGCATAATCAATTCATATTCAATTTCACTCGAAACTAGTGAAGCTTAGAGAAGAACTATTTTTAAAAATTGTAATAATAAAAAAAAAATTCCCCATGCATATTTTACCCCATATTTCCCTTATTTTATAACCGTGTTCTTTGTTTTGAATATGTGAATTAGATCGAATTACCCCATAGTGCTTGAACATGAAACAGGAACTTATAGTAGCAGACAACTTAATTATTATGAAAGTTCAAATTGCCTTAAACAATTAATCTGCTTAGATTAGCACTTTTTTCTTGAACATTCAATGAAATTGAAGCTTGCAATGCATAAGTGAATGTAACATTGCATTACCACATCCTATTTCCAAGGTTTTTATCATCACCACATTACAACAAAGTCTCCACGGGACCATTTTGAGCTAGCCTTTGCCTTCCAACTGTTAGAGAATTGAGAGAAAAATGTCAGTCATGTGATGTTATTCAATATTCTGAGACAAATCCTATTACCTCTTTTAAAATGGCTGGAATTTAGACATACGTGGGCTCAGCCTGTTGATGAAGTGTCTGAGGAGTCTAAAGCTTAAAAATTCTGCTGTTTTTTAACAAACAACATAAAGTAAAATCATCGCAACAAATTAAAGACAGTTTAGGAATGAATATCATGCCTGTCACAGGAATGGCTTTTTACATGCTTTTTTCTTCAACATTGCCTATAAATTTAATACTTGACAGACATGCAGGTGGCGTGAACAAGTAGTACCACATGTCTGTAAGTGTGACAGTGGATCACATCCGTGACCTTATTATAAAAGGATTAAAAAATCGGATGGTTATGGTCCAGACAGAAGGCTCACAAGATAGGATGTACGTTATATAACCACGACTGCATTCACAAGACCTTTTCTTGACTAGCTGAGTCATTAAGCCACTCCTTAAAAGAGATTTAAAAAAAGGCCAATTAACTGAACTTTAGTGAATGTTTGACACTTTTCCCACTATGAGAGGCTAAAGCCTAGCAGTTGATCTTCCAGAATAGATGAAGTGTACTCATATCCTTCGCTGTTGTCGACATTACACAAACATAATCATACTTGAGCATTGCACCAATAGACATGTTTTTGGTGGTTTGAAGGTTCTTTCAAAAAGTATCAACGGTAAAGTAACCTACTGTACAGTACTTAAAGATATTCTCCGCAGTAGTTATAAGAAGTTATCCACAGTAAATTATTTCAGATTTATTTTAAATGGGTTCACATAAGGCTAAGGGCTGTGGAACTGTTCCTGAGATAAATATTTTCAAGCAGAAATAAATTAATGACAGACATTCCACAGATTCATTTAAATTATAAATCCCAGATGAACAGACTGCAGAAGACCTTTAGTAAGCAAAAACCAGCAAACCACTTAAGGTTTACCAGATCCACAATTCACGAGTTCACACTTACATACAATTAGAGGGAGTAAAGTTTAATGCGTATTTGGCGTGCTATCCGGGGAGAGGGCGCCGAGCTCGGAATTCGGCCCGAACCCAGAGTACTCCCCCCGTATGTAAGTGTTTAGGACTAGAAGAGTGGAGAAGGAGTGGTGGAGGGATGCTGCAAAACTGTCAATGGATTGAGGAGAGACTGCTGAATCAATATGCACCTCTTATCATTGATTGCTGAGTGCTCTCCACCCGTGTTAATTATCTGAACGTCTGAACGTGCTCCTCCCGAACTTTGTTAAAGGCACAATATGTAAGATTTTTTCACCACAAGAGGGCGCAGTTTCCAACAATAACAAAGGCGTAGGTTGATGACGCAGTGATGAGCTGAATGATGGGACTTGCTGTCAAGCTGATGGATCTAATAATGTTTATGGATGAGTGCAAACATTCATGTTTTTTAACATTACAGTGGTACGAAGCAGGTCGCGATTGCTAAAGAGACAGATATCACACGCGAGTCCCGCGGATATAAAGGAATAAGGACATTTAATTCTACCGAACTACCCGCAAGTGCTGGATTACTCACACAGGTCAGTTTATTAGACGAATTAAACTTGTGAGGTAACACAGCGCTGCTTCACTTGGTCTAACGTTACACTATCACACTAAACGGCATTTAAATGTGTGTTGAAAGTTATAATGTTATACTATGTGTTAGTTCGTTTGCTATACGAAACTAGCAGTGAGCTAGATCAACATTAGAATAACATACTGACCATATTCTAACATTTCATCATGTTGAGCTAACGTTATATAACATTGATTTGTTTTATGTACATTTGTTCACCTGTCTAATAAAGCTGTCAAGTCGTGACTCGTGAAGCTCTGTCAAGTCCAAGTTAGTCGCGGACGTGGAGCTCTCGGCATCTCAAAAACGCCACGCTGATATTGATCCTCATTTTAGTTCTCCTTGTTTGTCCCAAAGTCTGCTTGCCATGGTCTATGGTTGAAAGAAACAAGAACTGCGTGCCGCTAAACGTTATGCACTACGCAGTTGTCCACGTCTGTCGCCATGGTTACGTCATGGCTATGGCAGTATGAACGGAAACCGAGGATAGCGAGGATATTGCGTCATCGACAGGCGACATTTTTTTCCGGGACGGCCACTTATTGAAAATTGGAATTTCTCTGAAATAAAAAAAATCTTTGGAGACTTTTGGGATATTGTAAGTACACAACTGCAGGAAATATATCACACTGTGCAAGTGATTTTTGGATATTTTATTACAAAATTCTTACATATTGTACCTTTAATAAAACATCATTATGAGTAAGCCATTCGGATGGGTCCAATGATGGGATAATCAGACAAAACCATCAATGAATATCTGAAGACGAGATCAATGATTCTGTTTCTTAATGCCCAAGATACAGCACAGCATGCATAGTAAAAGTTGATTTACAGTTGGTTGTACTGGCTGTTAATACCATATAAATGTGATTATGGGTGTCTCACCCTAGTCTGTCCTCTTCTTTCTGTCGCAGGTGGAAGTCTCTCTGGATAACCTGCCAAACATGCTTGGCTTCGTCATCTGTTAGCCTGGACAGATCCAAACTCTTCCCATTGCTGCCGCTGGGCATCATATTGAATCTCATCTGGTAGAATGAGGAAGCCAGTGAACTAAACCACAGTCCCACTTTGTTACCAAACGTGTAGAGTTTTCAGAGACAGAACAAATATCCGGCCTCATTAATTGCATGCTAGCACCCAGCTAGTTTAAACAAGTAATTTACTTCTCACAGATTGAACAGTTTATTTAAGATAATTTGCTTAAGAATGAATTGCCACTTCAAAGATTTATTATACAACAATTTTTGGGAGTGAGCTTATTTGTTAACTAAATGGTTATGTTGCATTTTTCATTCTGTCATTAGACTGTCATCCATACTTGGGCTGAATCTACTGCCTAAAATAATTTCTACTTTAAAACTTAAAAAGTAAAATGTAAAAATGTCTTAAAATTTTGAAAATTAAAAAAAAAATGTAATATCTGTTTTAATAGCATTTTTTTTTATCAGACAGTTTTATTTTTTGTTTTTTTTTTTGTATTAACATTTTACGCCCTATCTCTGAACCTTAGAATTTGTATTTCTTTGGGTTTTTTTTTGGCTGCTTAACCTTTAAGACTAATGTGCAGATTGTGGGTCAGACATGAGTGTCAGACATTGTCTATTTGCAGATAAAGGGATGTTTTTAGTTCTCCTAAAAGAAAACAACATCAATTTGTTTAATGGTATAAACAAATCAGCCTATTAGAATCAGTAATTTAATGTCCTTCCTTTAAACACTTGAATCGCCACGTAGCCATGTGACTAGTGAGCAGCTGAAAATTATTTTTAAATCCAATGACATCTTCCCTTTACAATGATGAGTTGAAAATACTCAGTTAAACAGTGTTTATTCAAAGAAGCATTAATTCCTTCTCAACTGCAAAATGGGCAACTAATCAGCAGTGCTCTATAAGTTATACTGTTTTCAAGTTCTCTGCCTTTCCTGAGTAGTTCATGACATTAAAGCAACAAGGAGTCTTTTCACCCGATTTGCCATAAAAAGCACAGTTTCAAACACATATTGTGGAAAAATATATTATTATCCAGTCCATTGCATTACACCATTTTTAGGTAAATGATTAACATGATTAAAAAAAATGTAGAGGTGATGTAGAATAATTTTGTAACATTTTACAAACTAAAAGTATTTTATTTATTGCAATGGGTTCTCACATTGTATCTGCCATTCCACTGAACATCTGCGCTTAAGCTCTTTTATCCTACCGCTGGCCCTTAAGGTCTTTATACAACGGAAAACTGGTTTATTTTTAAGCAATAAGAAATAATGCTGCAGCCCTCTAGGCATGGTATTTCCTTCATATACAACAGAAGAAGACTACCTGATACATAGCTATGGCAAGCTTTGCTTCAAGACACTTAAGGATTTAGAGGAATGTTGCAAAATCATCAAAACTATACAAATTACAAAATAATTGTAATCATTTTACACTTATAAAGTGTACACAGGACCTTTATACAGATTGTGTCTTTATATAGCCTGATAACAACTATATATATATATATATATATATAAAATAAATTACCTGAACTTGGTTCAGCAGCATGTAGTAGTCCAGTTGGATTGGAGCTGACCAGTTTCAGGCAGAAAATCAAACTGCTGTGTTTATCACATGTCCAATTAACTGGGGTTGGGAAGGGCCAGTGAAATATTTAAACCCCTCCTCAGAGTTTTCTTTGAAACAGCATCTGATTTAATCTTTTAAATTAGCGTCAGCAAAAGCTGGACATTGTTAAAGCTAAAATCAGCATAATAGTCACAGGTTTCACACTTGTGTTGCAGGTTTGTTTTTAGTAGCATACTTGTCATACAAGTATCCATGTTTGCATCACAAACTGTAAGCTTTCCCTTCTGATTTGCAGGGGGGGGGGGGGGTTTAACTGTATAGCATAACATAGTGTTGTTATTGCTATTTGAGTCTGATACATTTTTTGTTGAAATTATTTATCAATTATTTTGTATATTAAAATTATAGCAGATCCATAGTTAAGATGTGAAAGCATGAACAGAGACGATTTGTAAAATTCCATATAATTATTCATCTTATGTAATACTGCACTACTGAACCCTCAGTAGTGGTTAAAATTCTATGGTTCATCCATTTTTAATTGATTTTCTACAAAATAAGTGTTTACACTGTTTCCATTCAAAGAGTGTGGTTAACACCCGTGGTTAAAATTCTATGGTTCATCCATTTTTAATTGATTTTCTACTAAATAAGTGTTTACACTGTTTCCATTCAAAGCAAGTTTGAAAAGTTATTGCCTTTGCCTGACCATGGAAGGAAAAGTGCCTATCGCATGACATCATTTCAACCGGAAAAAAAAAGATTCATTCTAGGCTGGTGACTGATTAAGTTTGCCCAAGTTAGATTATTTTGCAATGCATGTAAAATGGTTCAACCATTTGCGTTTTCTTTATACAGGGGCTTCTATTCATGACTGGGAAAATGACAAATCCCAAGCCACAACTACATTTAGAAAGATCTACCTGCGGGTTTCTAAAATACTACACATTCTGAAGCTTGGTTTGTTCCCTGTTGTGAGAATAAATCTTGAATATAGTGAGCGATATAAAAGTGGAGACTTTTATATTTCTAAGATTGAGTTGAATTGATGATCTATAAGATTTATGCAATCTGTAGACTGACATGGTAAAAGGCAGAAGTGTTAAATCATAGTAATTCTTTGTATCAGATAAAAACACCTAGATATAGAAAAACCAAGGTACATGTTGTTTTAAGCTAAGAATTTAAATAAAATATATAATGATCTTTCTGCAGAATGTGGCTCTGGAAGAGGTTGTTAGCAAGAACAGCCCCCTCTGCCGTAAATAAAAGAAATAACATCTCTAATGGGTTCTGAAATGTGTTGCAGTGGTCTTTATTCAGGGTAGATGGCATTTTTTCATTCTAAATGAATGGCAGGGATGCTTTGTGGGATAGACATGTAGTCTGTTCAATGGATTTTATTGTTTTAAGGTTCCATCTAATTTTCACAACCCATAATTTCCTCTGGAATTTTTTTTTGAAAAGTTGTGTAACCCATTAAAATGACTGTCTATCCATCACATTTTTGGTAATATTTTAATCAACTATGACATTGAATATGGCTTGTAGACTACTCTGGCTAAGTTACAAAGCCTCTACCTTCATTTTTTGTATTTAATTATAGATTACATCACATCCGTACTTTCCGAATATACTGTCTTTAAGACACAATCTTGCATCACATGAAATGAATTCTGCGTTAGGATGTTAAAGCAGGAAATTGTATGTTTTTGGTTTACTTGGCACAGACAAGAAAGGGACGCCTATTAGTTTTAGACAAAACACAGGGAAGTAGCAAAATTCCTTACTGAACCAAATGAGCTCATGCAACTTTATTTGAGAGCATGTTTGCTGATGGAGTTTTGCGGATTAGGTTATTAAATGCAAGATAAACATACAGAAACATTTAACTTATAAACATCCATCTTGTTCTCATTATAATGAACACAAAAAAAAATAATACTGTGTAGCATGTAGCATTAAAAAGTTATGAATGGAGCTCTATCAGGATGGCCCTTAGGCTGTAGAACTTTTGTGATTTGATTGTTTCCCCCATGTTTTTGAACCTTCATTAGGCCTACATCAAGACAAACAGTCTTAACTGATAAATCTTAGCTTGCTCATCTGGTTCAAGAGCATAGAGTAGAACAGAATCATGATCTCTATTGCTCTCCATTTTCTAACCTGCCTCAGTGTAGGACTGTGCCTGCAATGTATGTGTATTAAGACAACTCCTCCAATGTAGTTTATTTCTTGTACTACACTCTTTCCTCATTACTCTCTCAGTTTACACAAAAACTTTCCCTTTTGAGCAGGACATGAGTTGAAGGAAATGTTATGCCTAACGATTGTGATGCTTCCCAAACAAACATTAGGCATGATTCATTTTAATCATGGAAATTCTCATTTCCAGTCTCAGTACATATACTTCATGGAAAACATTAGTATGATTTTCAAGCACAGTGTCTTTTTCAAAGGCACATTTTCAGGACTTATGTTCTGCAGTATATTCTACAAGTTCCATCACACCCAGTTTCACTACATTTCCAGCCCTGAATACTGTATGCATTATGAGACATTAGTCATTGCGGCATTGTAGTCATGGTTACTAAATTCAGAATTTTAAAACAGCAGCTGTCTGTACAGGACACCCAGTGAGATTTCAATCGAGTTTATTGTTCAGATAGATTGGTGAGTCAATGAAGCAACAAGGGAGGGTTAAACTGTGGCTGCTGCTGGCAGCTGGAACGGGGGATTTGATACATATAAGCACTTAGACCACTCTTAGGGCCAAGGACTTTAACACAGGGGTTTTTATTCCAGATTTTTAGTCTGTTAAATAGTGGGTATAAAAGTGAATCTTGTTCATGTAGCAAAAACCTATTCTAAGATGTAAACAGCAAACAGGTAAACAAAGGCCTGGTTACGTTATCTTTGATGGAGAAAAAAAAGCAAGAACTTGTTTATCATAACACCAGTTTTTATTTATATAGCATAAGTGCTGTTATTGATTTATTGTATTTATAACATATTTGCTGAAATGGTCACAACTTTAGCTATAGCCAGAGCAAATCTGGACACAGTATGCGACCACAGCTTTTGCTCTCATCATAACTTGTAATCCTGACTCAGTATATGCATATTTTTTTCCCCTAAAGCTTTGGATGTGCAGATTTGTTTAGTGCCAGCGTTTTTGTCTTTAGGCTTCAACACCACAGGAAGAATCTTAAAATGCTGAAGTCAAATTCAAAACAGATTTACCCCTCGAACTGTCCAGAGAGAGAAAAGGGAAAAGATTATGGTGAAAGGAGGATTTTAGAAATGTGTTTTGCACATGGTGTGCACAGCTGCCAGCCATCTCTGAAAATCCATTTCATCTGATTTAGTCTTCTCACAGAAATTAAAGAGAGAGAGAGTTTGGAAACCAGCGCAATCAGTTGATCAGCTGCGATCTACATGAACATTCTGTCTTGTAGACCCTTTGCTTTCAATCCTAGGGTCTCCCTATGAGGACAGCTGGTGCCTTTTTGAACCTCAGTCTCAGTTACAAATTCATTTAGATGTCTTGGTTCAGCAAAAGTGCTGCTAAATATAGCTAAAATAAAGGAATGGATGGATATATAATATCTGAAAGTCTATGTCCTTTATGATGATTTTGCTTTCATTTTAGGTGCATCCGAGTCTTGCAGTTCCTTGTAGACCAAACTTTCTTACTCAGTTTAGTTTGTGTTGCTCAGTGCAGCCTGTGTCCAGCTGGAACTAATCTGCTGTCTGTGAATTATCTTTATTGATGGTCTGTGCCCATCTGGCCTTGTGTAAAACTGTAGTAAACCTCAGCTCATGTTGAAGAGAAAAGGATTTAGACTCTCAAAGTCTTGTTAATGAAACTTGCTGAACTTGTAGCTTGATATTTTTTGCTTTGAAACAGATTTGCTGTTTTAACATTAGAATATTTGGCATTCAAAAGAGTTTGTTAATTTCAGAGTAGGGGAGAGTGGGGTAAAGTGAGACATTTTTTACATTTGCTCTCCTCTAAGCGAGCTAAAATGATATATCAGTAAAATTTACACATTTCCCATTAATTCAGGATGTTTCCTAGCAATGGAAATTATCAGAATGTATTCAGGACGAAGGGCAGTGAAAATATGATTGTTTTTTAAAAAGTGGTCTTGTGTCTCACTTTACCCCAGCTTAGGGGTAAACTGAGACAGACCAGAGAAATCAAGGGGGTAAAGTGAACCAGCGGGGGGTAAACTGATCCACTTACTTTTTATCAGAGCCCTGGCTCCCTGGAAAGCAAACGACTGGTATCAGTCAGGAGTAAGTATGGGTGTGGTTACAAGGAGACAAGTGATCTCGACAAATGCCTCCAACCTAGGTTGGGGGACCCTTTACAAGGGCAGGCCCGTCTCTGGCCTATAGTCAAGCCTGGAGAAGCGCCTACATATAAACTGTCTAGAGATGAGAGCAGTCACTCTATCGCTGAAAGCCTTTCTCCTGTACTTAAAAGGCCACCACATCCTGGTCCGGACGGACAACATTGCAGTGGTGTCCTATATAAATCGCTAGGGCTGTCTCAGGTCAAACAACCTGCATGCCATGGCCAAAAACCTCATCTTATGGGCTCAGCACAACCTGCGCTCCCTAAGGGCGGCGCATGTGCCAGGCATCCTGAACCAGGGTGCGGATATGTTATCCAGAGACAATGTTCCCCCAGGGGAATGGTCTCTTCACCCACAGACGTTTCAGCTAATATGGAGCATCTTCGGCGAGGCAGAGGTCGACCTCTTCGCCTCAGAAGACAACGCTCATTGCCGAATATTTTTCTCAATCGTGCTTGCCCACGATTGGCCGAGCCGCCCGCTGTATGCATTTCCTCCGGTCACGATGTTACCACAGGTCATCGAACGGATCAGGGAGAGCAAGTGCGCAATGCTACTAATAGCACCTCTCTGGAAGACCCAGTCATGGTTCTCTGTGCTGGTACAGCTGCTGGAAACAGCCCCATGGCCGGTTCGGCTGAGGAGAGACCTCACGCAGCCAAACCGATTAATCTGCCGTCCCCGTCCCGACTTGTGGGCCCTTTATGTATGGCCCCTCAACGGATACCCGGGTGTCTCCCGGAAAGGGTGCTGAAAACGATCACTGAGGCAAGAGCGCCGTCAACTAGACGCCTCTACGCTCAGAAATGGGTGGTATTTTCTGGCTGGTGCGCTGCACGGAGCCTGGACCCCTATTTGTGCGAAGTATTGAGTATACTCGCCTTCTTACAAGGGCGTTTGGACGCGGGTCGTATCCCCTCCACGTTCAAAGTGTATGTGGCTTTGATCAGGGGATCGCTTCAGTCGACTACCTTTGGCTGAACTGGCCAATGTAAAGGCTTAGGCCACACCCATTCTGGAGGGCTCTGACACGCCAGGGCGCGAAGCAGCCTTATTGGTTCTTGCGTCTGAGCCGCCTCGCCATAGGTTTGTGCAGTTGCCGCAGCACATCCAATGACCGCACTAGCCGTTCATCTGTGTCTGCTGTGCAGCTGCACTGCGTTTTTAAAATTTTGGCTTCAATATTCCACATTTTTAAAACAGGGCTCCTCCTCCTCAATATCTTGTCAATATCTTGTCAGGCTTGTCAATATTTCTATGCCTTGCAGCTGCTCTTATAGACTTCTTTCCTTCCTTGACCTCAGCGGCTGCACTCTCCATCTCCTCGAGGGGTGTTTTTCCCCAGGTTGTCTTCCTGGTGTATTACCTTGGCATGATGGCTTTTCTACAATGTTTATGACATTAAAAAATAAAACATATGTAATGTAATATTACATTAAAATATGTTTAAGACTAAACTTAACTTGTGCCTCATGTCTCACTTTACCCCACAGCATTTGTCTCACTTTACCCCACTGCCACATTTTAGAAAAAAACGATCTCTCTTAGTAATTCAGGATACTCTTCAGCTAGCATCATCACATGGTTTTATATGTTAATAGTTCATCAACATGTATGATATAAGTTTTTTCTACCTGAATCAATTTGCTTTGGCACAACAGTTGATTAAGTTGACAGCAAGAAAATTTACTTTTACATGCAAAAAAAATATTTTTGTGAAAAAAACATGCTTATCACAGCATCATGAGGTCCTCTCCATCATGGCCAAGGGGAAATGGGATGGGCTTGAAAACATAATGGTCACATGACCACAAATGTGTTCCGTTGACTAGATACAGGGGGTGTCTCACATTACCCGATGTCTCACATTACCCCGCTCTCCCCTACACTGACACCTTTGTTAAATTCTTTGGTAAAGTAGTTCTTATAGCTGGATGAACATTGGTGAATTTTATAGTGCAAGCCAACACTGCTTGGTAAACAATCTATTTGCAAAATTGGCAATGATTGTACCTATTTACTTTTTATCGTCACTGGATCTAGCAGGCTAGTAATTTAGAACGAAAAAATTACTTTGTTCCTTGTCAGTGTAGCAGCAGAACAGACAGAAAACTGCGACAATTAATAGTTTTTGTTTTTTAATAGAGCTATTTTGTAATCATATTATGATATGACATTTGACTATAATGATAAATGTCACATTGTCATTGCAATTGTGCATGTATCTTTATTACTTTCTCAAAAACAGAATCCACATATCAACGCATGCATATTGCTGATTAAAGATTTAGAATGTATTTTTATGATATAAAGGAGCAGATAATAACTGACAGACTAGGAAGTAAAGGGAAATCATTTGACTCTTGCCATTTGATGTGGTATTGGCAAAAACCTTTCCAAAAGTATGTGCACACAAACATGCTGAATCTGACTCAAATAATGTCATGGCCTTGATAATAATGACATTGAGTCGCTGTATGTGTTCATGAAAGATATGTGATTTTTGGGTCTGACTCACATTATTTCCCATTCTCCAGTCTTCTCTCTGCTGTATTTTTTATTTTTTTATTTTTTTTTATTACTGTGAAAAGGCCCCCAAAATAAACTACACATCAATCATAATTTTATCTAGTTTTACTACTTGCAGGTTGGTTTGCGGACATGTGTTTCAGCATAGTCCATGACTAAGCAGAGTAAACTCTGATCAGGGAATTTCACAGAACTCCACAATATCCATCCAGTTACCCATGGAAAGTCTTGAACAGCGCATCACTTTTCCATGAAAAGGTAAATGGAGGTTTAAACCCACCATTAAAATCTTTTTATGCTGGGTTAATTTCTTCATAATCAGAAACAAATGCTCCCACCCAGAGCTTTGAATGTTACAGTTACCCAAACAAGTCCAATACAGAAAGTTATTTTTTTCTTCTTCTATGTTTATGCTCCACACCTTTTTGATTTAGAGACTTGCTAGAAAGTTCATATATTGTGTTTGTGATTAGCCAAGGATACAAGTCGAGATGGAGCAATGTAAGGAGAAAGAAAAACTTGCTTTGGTTTGTTACATCACTGTGGCGAGCAGGTCGAAGACGAGGGCCATGGGAGAACAGCGCGAGGCCGGTTGCGTGATTGCTCGCCACTATCACCTTCCCAATAAGGAACAGCCATACCAAATAGGGCCTTGGGTCTGTTTCTCATTTATGACTCTCTCACTCTCTTTTTTCTCCTCTTTGTGCTTTTTCCTTCTTCTCTCTGCAGAGGAAAGTAGGAGGCGTGGAAACATTGTGTGGCTCTTCTCCAGGATTCTCTGAGTTGTGTGTTCTGTCCCAGGCTGGAGTGAGTTGCACTGCTCCTCTGGAGAGCAAACAGTCAGCTCAACGGACGAGAGTCTCACAGCAAAGCTCAAGCACACAAGCTGATCAGCATCATCTCTGTCTGACCCATCCCTTCACAGAAGGAAGATATCAGATAGAAGATAATGACCTAAGAGTTGTCTTTTTGCAGATATTCGAAATTCCATAGAAAGACTGTGGAATACAGCGCTCTGAATTCTGTATTCCAGGGGTAAGTGGCTCAATTGTGCAAATACATCTTTGTAAAAGGAGCGTTTTAGTGCATGTGTGAGACTGTGCAAGATGGTGCGGTCTTTAGTGTGTTTTGAGGCATGCATTTTAAAAAATCTGCCGTTGCATACGCCTTTTTTACCCTATAAAGCTTGGTTTGTTTGTATGGCTATTCCAATGCACACAGTGTGTAGGCAGTTTTACTTCTTAATTATAGTTTTAATGTTAAGAATTGACTGGATAAAGCAAATTCCAAAGCTTTGGGAGAAACAGGGAATTTTTCTTGCACCACAGGAAGAGGCATTGCAGAAGAGGCAGAGCAAAGTGCTCAGATAATAGAATACATTAGGAGGGGTTCTGTGCTAAGGGTGTGTTCAGAGTGAGAACTTTAGCAGGAACGTTTTTGAGACAACTGTTACAGTATGTAATCAAGTGTTTGTGATATGGTTGCACATAAGCTAATTGATTCTGGTGTGTAAAATCCACATTTTACTAGATGTTTTGTAGAATTATCACCATAACAGTTTGGTTGAGTTGTTATGCTGCTTTTTGTTTATAAAGATTATATCTAACACACCCGGATGAGGATAATACTGATTATGAGCTTGTTTGAACAGAAGCAAGAAGCAGAACAAGTCAGGAAGCTCTGTTGCACTTTTCTACCACAGTAGACACTATTCAGATTTTTTTTTATTGCACTTTCTGCCCAGCACTGTAAAGACAGGGTGATGTGAAACTTTTTCCACTGTCCCTGCCAGATGGACAAAGAATGCTGTGAGAGTTAGAGCTCAGACATTAAACTTAAGTGAAGCAGAACCAGATGTGGACCCTTGAAAACACCAGAGAAATTAGATTCATTACAGTTATTTCCCATTGACATACATACAGGAATACAGACATAATTGTCACACATGCAACTCCGTAGGGTACTAATAATCACCGTTTAGGGGTAGATAAGGTATAAAAGTTTACCTCTTATAGTACTGTCCCAGTGACAAGCTAAAGGTAAAAAAAAAAAAAAAAAAAAAACCTTCCCCGAGGTGTGGCCTTTCCAATGTTGGGAGAGGTTGTTATCCCCACTTAAACCACTAGAGGCCAATGTTGAGACACCTTGCAATAGCCATTTGGTGCTTTGGTTTTCAGACTGAGCTTAAGGGGGCAGGGATTGAATTTGGTTCAAACGTATGTTTTTCATCTCATTACTGTTCCTTGGGCATTGAAACCTTTAATAACCTTTAATGAATGAGGCAGCAAAATCATGCTGGAAAATCCTGTGAGAGATTTCCATGATTTGAAAGTTTAATATTTTTGCAGTGTGCAGTTGCTTTTATTGTTGTTTTTGCCTCTGATTCATAGAGTTTGTAATTAATTAAATTGATTTGTTATTTCTTTCTTTGTACAGTGAGAACAATTCACATGGAAATGCCAAGCTTTTCATACAGCTTTACTTGTAGTTATTGCTTCTCAGACACACCGCTATGCAGTTCACATTATGTTATATAATGTACGTTTCCATGTAACACCATTGTGTGCTGAAGAATATTTTTAATTATTCTGCATCCAAATGAACTAAATGCCAACCGAAATAACTCACAAAGTCATCTTGTTTATGGCTTATTTTAGGTTTTAGCTGTGATATGTGATCAATAAGTTTTGTTCTGTTAGCGTTGATTTGGTAGAAATTTATGTTGCAGTTTATAAACTATAGTATATGGGTAAGGTCAGGAGAGACCCTGTTTGTAGGCCTATATCGCTTTCGGTGTACAATAATAATTAAATGTGCTATATAAATGCTTCATTCATTCATTCGGTTATTCATATAGATAGATAGATAGATAGATAGATAGATAGATAGATAGATAGATAGATAGATAGATAGATAGATAGATAGATAGATAGATAGATAGATAGATAGATAGATAGATAGATAGAAGGGATGCAACAACACAGTTAGCGTGTTTTTTTTTTGTTATTCTATGCTTAGGCAATAGGAACAGTATAAAGAGGTTAAGGAGAAAAAAAAAATACGATTTATTGCAATACTCCTTTATTACTTAAAAGCTAAGAAAAGTCCACTAGTTCCTAGTGTATTGTATAATATAAAATTAACACTGACATTTCACAGCTGCTGGTAGCCCATGTACAAACTGGGGAACACATAAATTCCAAAATTTTGAAAATAAACATGTATGTGAAGTTGGTAAACATAAATTGACCATTTCAAATAAACATAGCCTACTTGCACTTCAGTAATGTGTTTCCGTTTGAGTAGGCTACACGTGTAAAACTTGCACAGTCATTTTTTGTTTACCGTTTTTTCTTCCTCGGCAACCTTATTCCTACGCCCCATGACGCTTTGCCCGAATTATGGGTGTAACTTCCGTTAAGCTGTAAACAATCAGTGAAAGGCTCGCTCTATGAACGCAATACGTTAAAAAGTGTTACAATGAGATGACATTAATCGACTCACTCTTCAACCATCGAACATTAAAATGAAATTTTAGGAGGATTTGAGGAGAACAACGAGAGATTCTTCGTACATTCCAGTGAATTATTAATGGAATATCGTAAATTAAATTCGGGAGAACAGACCACAAATGTGCCGTATATGTTGTGCTTTTTCATACTTTTACAACGGATTGCAAAGGAAAAAAAGAAAAGAAAAGAAAGCATGCAGCGACTGAAAAGAGCTCTTGCCATATTCTTGTTATAACATGTCACGTTAAAATACCAAGTATAACGTTATTCTCATGATGTCTAAAAATAAATCATGAAGGAAAATTGACAGCTCATCCAGTCAAACTGACGGATCAGCTTTATTTGTAGGGCAACCTTGATTTGAAATGATTCGTTTCAGCCTTTTTGAATGGAAGTTCCCCAAACCGGAAGTGCCACCATAATTCAAAACGCATTAGGTCGTCAGGAATAAGGTGGATACTCAACGGCAAAACCGAAATGTCCCCACACCACGGATTCGAATGGCGCTTCCTTGTACTGTAGCCAGGGCCGTCGCTAGTGGGGTGAAAGGTGGTGACAATTATAGGGGCCCCCGCTGCCCAGGGGGCCCCACAAAATCCAGCAGTTATACTATTTAGGCCCCTGTTGTATGAATAATTCTAATATTTATATTAGTTGTATGCCTGAGATTTAAATGAAAACCACAAAAACGTGCAATTTGGGAAATATTTTTCCAAATATCTGCTTCTCTTACCTCCATAAAAATGGTTTAGTCCGACCTAAAGTATTTATTAATTATTCAGTCAGAGTCAGTGACAAACATCAGATGGACCCAATAAAATTGTAAGTCCCACCCCAGCTCGTGAACAGAACCAATCAGAGTTGAGGCGGCAGCCTGAAGTTAACGATGAACTTGGTGGAAGAGCAGGAGACTAATGCCGCGTTCCAGGCAACCCGTAACCCGTGTTTTTCCAACTCGTAACTGGGAGTACATCGATCTAGTACGAGTTCATGGATGGGAAGTCACGGGTTTGACTGCCGTTCCAGTGCACTTTCACGGGTATAAGGTTGGAAAAACACGGGTTACAGGTTGCCTGGAACGATGTACTCCCAGTTACGAGTTGGAAAAACACAGGTTACAGGTTGCCTGGAACGCGGCATAACTGACTGAAAAATGTCGGGAAAAAGAAAACATTAATCAGGGAACCAGAAATGCCAGGAAAAGACGGAGAGGGAGGCAAGGAGAGTGGTTGTATCGGTTGTATCCCAGTCGATCAAGACGTTCTTAAAGACCGGTTATATATTGTTATTTCGCTGGGAATTAGAAAACTTCCGTCTACAGTCTGCCGTGTACAGTCATTTTTTATTATCGGTGCGCGCCGCAATCAATCGAATAATTACATGGTCTAAATTCCTGTATTTTGACACTATCGTAAATAGAGTTTTAAAAAAATTACACGACTCACGACGCATTGCATTGCATCTGACCTGCCGGCTGATGATATTTAAAACATCGAGAAAACACGAATACAACACACTGCACTTGGATGAATAAATGTATTCGCTTTATTTAATAATATTACCAGTTCCATATTATCTTTATTAAAAAATAAGACAATGAATGGTTTTATTTTTTGAATTAGACTGCATTCTTGTCAATTTCTAAATGTTTACTTTTTGATTTATGAATTATAACAGACTGATGGGGGGGGGGGGGAATTATTACTTTTTAAAAATTGGTTTTATTATTATTTAACAATTTCTTGCTTTTTTGTTAGTTTTTATTAGTTGTAATTTTTATATAAACATTTAACTTTTAAAATAAAGGTTTTACAACAACATCACCATCTTCTGTTATGTGGGCCTCCATGTCCATCTATTGTACAGTATATGATATTGGTGGAGGGTGGTGGGGGCCCACATCAATATTTTTTCAGGGGGCCCCGAATCCTCTAGCTACGGCCCTGACTGTAGCCTCACTTCACCGCTGCTCGTGCTCGCCATAAAGTGTGGAATGATGGCGCGCGCCCCCTAGAGCATAGTGATTGAATATTTACTCGCGGGGAGGAGTTTCCTCATGTCAGCTCGACTTACAAGCACACACAAACAGTCAATTCGGAGAGAAATAAAACGCACATAAATTATTTAAAGTCCCCATGAATTCAAAATTGACCATACTTACTTTGTTTGCCTAAATTGATCGTTTTGTGGTGAACAATTCATCCATGCAAGTCAATCCACACAAAAAATTTTTTGGCTTCGTAATCTTTAATCAAAATCTGAAATTTCCCCTCCCCTCTGTTGGAGGACCTTCCCTGATGACGTAGGTTTCACGGTTTGGGTGTCTGCTTAACATCCGTAATCACGCCCCTCCAACTGACAGTATGGCTGAATGAAAACACCTACTTTTCTAGATCCAATCAGGTGCTAGTTGGGAAAAAAGCCACGCCCACTATGTTGCCTCATTAAGTATTCTGTTTCTCTCGGAAATTCGTCACAACACTGGAGAAAAGTCGTTTGCAACATCCGGTTCACGGGGACTTTAAACGTAAAACCGGAAAAAAAAAACGCAATTCACAAGCGCGTATTGAACCGTGGATGTGTCGTACCGAACGGTTCAATATTATATTGAGAATTGTGGCATCTCTAATAGATAGATAGATAGATAGATAGATAGATAGATAGATAGATAGATAGATAGATAGATAGATAGATAGATAGATAGATAGATAGATAGATAGATAGATAGATAGATAGATAGATAGATAGATAGATGTTTACTTATGGAAGTAAAAATGTTGTTAACAATGCTTGTGTAGGGACATTCTAAAACGCTTAACGTGAAAAACGCTTAACGTGAAAAACGCTTAACGTGGCTTACTGTAGCTACTATACATAGTATGGTTTATTAATATGATGTATACTGAGTTTGGTCTTTTAAGATCACTGTCTTAGTACAGTAAGCCACGTTAAGCGTTTTTCACGTTAAGCGTTTTAGAATGTCCCCTTGTGGAGAAGAAATTAAACTGTCTCAAATGGCTTTGGTCACTTTACTTCGTTAACAGTGATTTATATGTATCCTCTTAACATGCACTATAAATTAATATATATTTCTCAGGTTTTTTATTTTATCATATTTGCGTGTATGGTACGGAGCCCCTAAAGGGACGTGGTGGTGGGAAAAAAATTTAGGATGGGAGAATTTTTTTTAACCAATCTTTTGCGTTTGAAACAGGAAGTGACATTAAACATGAAGTGTCTGTCCGAGCTGCCAACAGGTTATGCGTGGGAACGCAAAAAAAATGCGTGGGAACGCTATCTTTGCGAGGGAACGCAAAGTTTATCGGGGGAACGCAAAAGATTTGAAAAAAAAATTCTCCCATCCTAAATTTTTTTCCACCACCATGTCCTTTTAGGGGCTCCGTAGTACGGTAACATGGCAGCCAACCACCAAAACTAATTAATTTGTACTGTGACTCAAGGATTCCAAGTTCAACTCTGAGACTGATGTGATGGAAAGCATGTAATTTTCCTAGTCCAGTCTAAAAGTTTTTACAACAGTATTTTTCAGTGTGATTCTGAGCTCAACAAGGAGGGGACATTCTGTGTCCTGGCATCTGTCTGTCCACATGTTATTGCATTTTTGTTTGTGTCCAGTAGTCTGATGCTTTTTTTTTCTTAATGTGTGGACCTCTTAGTGCTTTGTGGTTTTTACTGGCAAGTGAGGGCAGTTGATGTGGGAAGAAATCCTTTTCCTCCTGAAATCATGAAATCTGACAGCTGTGTGGATTTGGCTCATGGGGTGGAAAAAGGTCACATAAATCTCACTGTGCTGCCAAAACTTTTAATGTCCTCCTAAAAATAAGCGTAAACAGTCCTGAGGTATTTCAGAGAATGTTTATGTCATATTTTATAAGAAAAGATGAGCAAACAAACAACCCAATAAGTGACTATTTTTAGAATATTGATCTTTTGATACCTATAATTTGATAGCTAAACATTATCAAACTGTCCAAAGTTATGACAGAACTGTGGATGAACAACAGTCATATGTGTTTGTGCCATTGCAAGTGAGTACAAGTTCTGGCATACAGTGAGGATGTGTGAGATTAACAAAGCTTCAGATGTGTATACTGTAGTGTATACAGTATGGTGTAAATTATTCCCAAAAACTTAAAAGCAGTTTTGTTTTTTCAGCTGTCTATTCCGATGCTTTTGTGGACAATGGGGAAGAACCGGTTGTTACTGTATGCCCTTTTGGGTATAATGGCTTTTGGTCTATTCCCAAAACTTGAAGCTCAGGATGGTAAGTTAAGTCCAGCATTTTTTTTTTTTTAGATGTAAACTTCCAGTTATGGGTGAAGACATGTTAATTTTACTGTGCTGCAGACAATACACAAGTAAAAATCATAAATGTTTCCTTTTATTGGAAAGAGAGATCTTAAAACTAGGTGTTTTTCTTTGCAAAGCTATTGTTAAGTATTCAGTTTTTATTAGACCCCCGATCACTTGAGTTAAAACTTTGAAATCTAAAGACAGTGAAGAGAAACATCTACAGTTTCAGTAAAGGGAGTTGAGCACGTATTTAAATAGCCTAACTGATTTAAATACTGTGAAGATATTCAGAGTGGTGTGCTGTAGTTTGTTTAGAGCTCCCAATGATCAAGAAGAATTCAACAGAACACTGCATTTCAAGTTTATACCACTAATCCTGAAGGGTCTCAAGAGCTACTGTCAGCATCGGGAATGGCCACAGCCAGTTAATATTGACAACGGGTAATTCATGCAAAATGTTCCCAGAAATAACCCAATTAACCATTCCCCCACACTGATAACATGACTAGTTTTGTTACAGTCACATTTTCTGCATGCTGTGACTCTGTTTTTAGTGCCTTTGCGCAAAGAGGCGTGAAATAATGGATTTTAGGTGTAACAGATTTTCAAAACCACCAATATCCATCCAACTGTCTTTCTGTCTCTCTTCATACGTTCACTAATTTATCCATCATTTCTGTACTAAATTCTTGAAAAAATAAAAAGGTAGATTCACTTCAAATCTGATGCCTACATTTTTTTAAAGTATGGCAAGGTGTCACTGATTTATGTCTTTGAGACTTTAGAGATCATCAGCAGCTGATGATGGCTAACCACCCAGCACAGCTTATGTCTTGAGAGCTTAATGTCTGATACTTTTGTGTGTGCTGACTGTCTTCACTGTGTAACCATATATAAAAAATAAATACATTTTCTCCACAATTGATACAGTGATGAACCCACATGTTTTCATCTTTGAAATGTTTACTATGCATTTTTCACTTAATTCAAACATTAAAGACCCCATAACATTTTTAGAAGTAGTTAAATTAGTAATAAAAGTTTGAAACTTTTGTTTCAACAGGAATTATGTTATCACAAGAAATAAAACTGTGCTCATTGTGTGATTTCATTTAGTCTTTAATAATCAAATATGTGAAAAATGCCAGTACAGTTGAAATAAGTAACAGTAAAAGTGATTTTAAAGAAGTCCAAAGATGAGACAGAAGGGTCATGACTGGTGCTGTTATCACTGAATACTGTAACATGAGTCTGCATGGTCTGACTGAACACAAGAAGATGGAAAGATTCAATTGCCCAGGCAGCCTTTAGAGGTGCCCAAATACATATACAGAAACTTCGTAATGTACACACAATTATTCTAAATACACTGTAAATTAAATCCCCACAACAAAACTGTAAATTAAAACCCCACAACATAATTCTACATAATTTCAGAGTATGAAAATTAGAAAGTTGCAGAGCATCTTCCTTGGTTCAGCAGACATGCAGTATAATGTGTTTGTGTTGTGTTTTTATGATGGATTGTAATTATCCATGATTATGTTTTATGCTTGCACCCTTCCCCTGTCTCCCTCTTTCCGTTTTTTTTTTAACCCACACATTTTGCATTATATTTTGTTTGTTTCTCTGTCCTCTCTCCACTTCTCCTTCAAAGCCCCCGGGTCAGCCGACCTTATACTCTTAATTGACGGATCAGAGAGCGTTGGAGCTGCCAACTTCCCCCTCGTCAGTGATTTGGCTGTCCAAGTGATTGAGGGGCTTGCCGTGGGCAGGGACGCAATCCGTGTTGCCCTCGTGCTTTATGGTGCCGATCCCGAGATTAAATTCTATCTCAATAGCTATGACAACAAAGAGAATGTCCTCAGTGCTATCCGGGGGCTTAAGTACCCTGGCGGGATTGAGTCAAATCTGGGGGCCGCCTTGGAGGAGGTGGTAGACAGTCTATTGGGCCAAGATGCAGGAGGCAGGGCAGCGGAAGGGGTGCCCCAGGCACTGGTGGTAATCAGTGCTGGGGAGTCCACTGATGATGTCAATCAGGGCGAGAGGGCCCTAAAGCAGGCCAATGTGTACACCTTTGGTATTGCTGTGGGTGATTCTGCAACTGCCCAACTGGAAGCTATTGCTACAGACAAAAGCTTTGTTCTGTCCGCTCCTGATGTCAGAACAGTGGCAAGCATGGGTGACCAGATACTGCCATACATTAATGGGGTCACCGAGCGCACCATTGTGATTCAAACAGATTTCCCAGAAGGTATGTAATTACCGTATGAGAGGGATTCCATAGAGAACCTGAAGAAAAAGGAAATAATAACAGCACATTATCACGGGCGTGGACATCTAAACAAAATAATAATAATAATAATAATAATAATATTTTTAGGTGAAAGTGTAAAGGTTTTAGTGTCCCAAAATTTCTTTCTTTCTTTCTTTTTTTTTAAACAACATACGCATGCTGTGTTTACAAATGAGCCATACAAACATTTTTTTTTAGTTCACTGTTCTTTTCAGAGTTTGTGTTTTCTATAAGATAAAATATTTAGACTAAACCAAGAGTAGCACATCATGCAACCCATTAACACTCCTGGTATGTTTATATTCAGGATATTAATAAATTTAGGTCATAGCATTCGTATATATTTCTATACTTTGAAATAAATGATCACTTTATGCTAATTGATTTCCATTATTTTTACCACTTATATGATTTATATATGTTAGCTTTATGGCAAGTAAAAAATGGTGATAGTTAATACATTGTATCTGTAAAATATCATACATTTTAAATAAATGATGATAGCTAACTTCTTCATAGATTACCTGATTTTGGTTCGAATTTGCAGAAGGACTAAGTAGAATTCTTTTTTTCCCTTTTAGCTTTGGCTGTTGGGAAAAGAGATATAATTTTCCTCATTGACAGTAGCATGGGTGGCACCTCAATCAATGCAGTGCGAGAATTCATCAAAAGGTTTATTGACACCATGCCAATTGGACCTGATCAGGTGCAGGTCGGAGTGACCATGTTTTCCACCACCCCAAGGTCGGAGATCAACCTCAACTCATATAGTTCAAAAGAATCGCTAAGCTCTGCTCTCGCAAGAATAAAACCCAAACCTTCTGTTGAAGTCAACATCGGGGCTGCCCTGGATTTTGTGAGAACCAGCATGCTCAGACCTGAGAGTGGGAGCCGCATTCAAGATCAAGTGACACAGCTTGTGTTTCTCCTGACCAGTAAAAAATCTAAAGACAGTGTCCAACAGCCAGTTGAAGCTCTCCGTCAAATGGGTGTTCTAACTTTGGCTGCAGGCTCCAACGCAGCCGATGGGGCTGAGCTCAGGCAAATAGCTTTTGATGAATCTGGGGTTTTCATCCGGAAGGACTTCAGGGGGTTGCTGCGCAACCCCAAAGAAATTATAGACCATCTCTCTACATTGACTGGTGCTGTTGTGACAGAGGGTCCAACTGAAACGGGTAATATTCTACAAACATACTGCTTTTGTTTAAATAAAAAATGCAGATTGTGTTATTAATTTAAACTAATAAGATGAATATAGATAAACGAAATACTGTAAAAAACTATATGTATTTTTATGCACTTTTGCCCATTGATACTGTCTTATACAAATTTAGATTCTTGAACTTCATTTTAAAGGTACTTAGACATCTAAAATTGTGGTCATATAAAATCTTCTAGGCCCATTTGTGGATGTTACTACAGTCCGCACCCAAAAAGTTGTCCGAGACATTGTCTTCCTGGTGGATGGATCTTCCTACGTTGGATATAACTTGCAACCTGTGCAGGACTTCATCACTGGCGTGGTAAACAGACTAGACGTTCGACCTGAGCGAGTGCGCATTGGACTAATGCAGTTTGCTGAGAGGCAGAAAAATGAATTTTATCTGAACACTCACAACACCAAACAGGATGTTCTCTCTGCCATTGCTCAGCTGAGTTTGATGGGAGGACGTGCATTGAACACTGGTGCAGCCCTACAGTATGCCCTAGCCAACCACTTCCAGCCCTCAGCTGGGTCTCGTAGGAGACAGGGGATCCAGCAGGTACTGGTACTAATAACAGGAGGACCATCTCAAGATGAAGTCAAGAGGATTGCTGACCGTGTAGCTATAGAGGGTGTTTTGACTTTTGCTGTTGGAGCTGGCCAAGTGGAAGAGAGTTTCCTTAAAACTGTTGCTTTTGTTGAAGATTTGGCATACTACAGAAAAAATTTTGCTGATTTGTCAAGTGTTGTTGACGAGATTATGACACCACTGATCACTGTTGTTGGGGAGACTGATACATCAATAACAGGTGAGCTGAATCATGCTGACATGACTTCATAAAAAAAATATTTCAGTTTTGTTGAATATTGTTTTAGTTAATAAATTAAGACTTATATAATGAATAATATAAAACAATTACTTTATTATAATATAATATAAAGAACACTGTCATATTGGTCAACATATACAAATTACTTTTTGTTCCTCTCTATTTTTTAGCACTTAAATTGTTTCACTTTTGTATTCAGAAATGTACAATGTAACCTCTTGTAGATATTTAAAGGGGTCATATAATGCAATTTTTGTACAAGCTAATATGATTCTTTAGGGTCTAAATTAAAAGTTTGTAATATACTTTAATTAAAAATTCTCATTAGTATTGTAAGAAAACACTTATTTTACCTGGTCAAAAACAGCTCTGTTTTCAGCACGACCGTTTCAGTGCATATGACTTTAAATGATAATGAGCTTTGCTCACCCCGCCTCTCTGTTCTGTGCATACACCATTTGTAACACAATAACACAATAACCATAACGCGTTGTTCAGTATAAACATGGGATTATGAATTATATTTGAGAACGTCATACATAGAAAACATGCCGTAATGTACCCTGAGTGTAAACCTTAGACGCATTCATTGTGAAGCGTGCAGCTAGCGATTTGCAAAGATTAATATATTAATATAAAGTTTAATAAAACGTTACACTCACCTCCGTTCTTCTGGAGATTCAGCAGGAACACGAATATCTGGTACCGATCCTTTTTTTCATTAGCAGCTTCTTAGCAAATCCAGCTTTATACTGATCCTCGTTTATAAAGCAGTCTGGTGTGTGAAATGATTCGCGCAAACATGAAAGCATTGACGTTGCTCGTGGGGAATATTCCCATTCGAAAACAAACTCAGCCACTGCGTCTTAAGCGGTTCCGTTCGGATTTAGGAACTTTAAAATGACTGCTGTGTTCGTTATTACACCCAAGAACAGAACACCACAATCGCTTAGACGCCATTCTGCTCATAGACAGTGCTCCAGCATATCAACAATGACCGCGCCGGTCCGCGCGGACTATGATTGACAGCTCCTTCACGAGCGAGGGCGGGTCTGTGTTGAAACGCTCCTGTCAATCAACAATCGTGGGAGGGGCTTCCGAGCGTGTGACGTCACACGGTCGAACGGCTTGATTTGAGGCAGGGGAAAACATATAAGGAGATTAAAACAAAAACACTGGATGGATTTTTATAATTTTATGATGGTTGTGTACAGGCACTGCCAACACACATTTCAGTACAATCAACTTGTAAAAGTGCATGTACCATTATATGACCCCTTTAAGCATTTTATTGTATTTCATTAATATTTCTTTTTTTGGTATCTTTCACAGTAACACCAGGTCCCTCAGGTGGAGAAAGGGATGTTGCATTCTTGATCGATGGCTCTGATGATGTCCGAGGTGACTTTCCCTATATCCGTGACTTCATTTCCAAAGTAATTGAGCCTTTGGATATAGGCTTTAATAAAGTGCGAGTTTCTGTGGTCCAGCATAGCGAGAACCCAAGTCCTAGCTTCTACCTGAACACTTACCAAACCAAAGATGAGGTGCTGAGAGCTGTGAATGGACTCACTCTGACAGGTGGCAGAAGTTTGAATACTGGTGCTGCCTTGACTTTCATGAAAAACACCATCTTGTCACCAGCATTTGGTAGTCGATCTGGCGAAAATGTTCCCCAATTTTTGATCGTTTTGACGGGGGGAAGATCAAGAGATAGTGTCAGAGAACCTGCGGTAGCCCTAAAGACTGATGGAGTTGTACCTTTTGGTGTTGGAGTGAAAAATGCAGATCCTAAACAGATTGAGGCCATCTCTCACAATCCATCATTTGCTTTCAATGTGAAGGAATTCAGCCAGCTCAACACAGTTCAGGAAAGGCTCAAGAACTATGTGAACCTTCCAGATCAAGAACTGAAAGTCTTTCTAGAGAAAGGTAAGAACATTTGAGCTTTTTATTTAGCTGTGGCCTTCTATATGCTGGAGGGTTTATTTTTTTAGGGGGGCTGTGCTATTCTTTGTTTCTAAATATTTCTCATTGGTTTCCTGTATCTTCGTTTATGGCAAAATATCGCAAAAAAATATTGTGTTCCTTTTGGATGGTTCTCACGGTACTAAAAGTGGATTTGGTGCAGTGTATGATTTTGTTCAGAGAGTTGTTGAGAAACTTAATGTGGAGGAGAGAAAATACAGAGTATCTGTGGTTCAGTACAGTGACAATCCAGTGGTTGACTTCTATCTCAAAACCTACTCAACAAAGACGGAGGTTCTAAATGCCATTAAGGTCCTGAAACACAAAGGTGGACAAATAGCTAACACTGGTGCAGCCCTCCAATTTGTGAGGCAACAGGTTTTCACTTCTTCATCAGGGAGTAGATGACTTCATGGAATTCCTCAAATTCTAATATTGCTGAGTAGCAGACCATCTAGTGATGAAATAATAGGACCTGCCATGGTCATGCTATGAAAAATCTTGAAATAGGGATAGTAAGCATTGGTGTGAAAAATGCAGATCTAAATGAGCTGAAAACTGTATCAATCCAGTCTAAATTCACACATTATATTGATCGATTTGATGATCTTACTTTAGTAGAGCCACACATTGTTTCAACTCTTAAGAATATCCCAAAAGAATCTGGAGAAATTCATAAAACAGAAGTTCTAGACTCAGCTGGTAAGAGCTTTCACTTTAAGCAATACATAAACAATTATTTGTGTTTAAGTTTAGGCATTGAGTCTGCTACAAACCTTAAATGTAAATGTCTTATAAATTGCTATATATATGATGTTTTAGGATGTGTGGAACTGAAAATTATTTCTTACTTAAATATTTCTTCTTAGGTATGTTCTCATGTCTTCCATGTCCTTATTTGACATCTTTTGCACATAAAGATGTTCATTCCATGGAAGTATTTTGAACTTTACTTGCAAGAGCTTTTTCTTATTCAACGCTGTTCACATCCTGACCCAAAAAATGATTTTTGAGGGGTCGATGTCACTGATATTCTTTGATTTACTTGCATATTTTTTACTCTTGTACACTTTTAAAGCTTTTGCTATTCAATTTAAACATTGAATGATTCAGATGTATTCCAATATCCTTTTCTTTTCTTTTCTTGGTAACTTGCCTGATACAGGAATTAACAAACGGGATATAGTTTTTCTCCTTGATGGCTCAGATGACTCCAGAAATGGATTTCTTGCCATCCGTGAGTTTATTAGGAGAATGGCAGAGGATCTTGCCATTGACCAGGACATTGTTCGAGTTGCTGTAATACAGTACAGTGAAGATACTTCGACTCATTTTCTACTTAATACTTACAATAGTAAGAAAGCTGTAATTTATGCTATTAATGGCCTCACAGCAAAAGGTGGAAGAAACCTAAATACCGGGGCAGCGTTACAGTATGTCAGGGACCATGTTTTCATTACTGCTTCTGGAAGTAGACATCAGCTAGGAGTCCCTCAGCTGTTGATTTTTATGACTGGTGGAGGGTCCAGTGATGATGTGGCAGGTCCCGCTGAAGATCTCAAAAACTTTGGAGTTCTGTCCATTGCCATTGGAATAAAGAATGTTGAAGAGGCAGAGCTCCAAAGCATAGCATTTTCACCTAGATTTATTTTTAATCTTCCCGTTTTTGGTGAACTTTTACATATACAGCCTGATATCCTCTCCTTTATCAAATCCAAAATGGAAATAGGACCCCCTACTATCATTGGTAAGAATAACTACACTAGCCATTTTCTTAAAATTCAAACTTTTTCTTGTGACTTCAGATATCTGATAGTTTGGACATGAAAATCTACTTCACTAAACTATTCGCTTTAACCATGAGGCCATTTTTAATTGATTCAGCTTAACATATGTTAAAGACTGGCAATTAATGGCCTTTGCCACTAAATATTTACTATTTTCCTGTTCTGTTCATCTTTTGCTTTGTCCATCAAAGAACTTTCATCATTTTCCACTGGTTCTCTCAACCATGGAAGAGTCTTACTTCTTGCGGAGATTCCTCTTCAGTTTAAGCTCTTGTTTGAGCCAATGATTTCTTAATCATTGTTGGTGTTTGATCAATAGCAACTCCTTGTTCTTCCCTTTTTCTGTTGCTTGATTGATCTTATTCATGTGAGTGTGAAAATACACTAGTAATATTCACTCATAATGGATTTTTTTGTTTCAGATATTGTCAGCATTTTCTTAAGACAGAACAGAAATATAGCAAAGTGTATTTGGAATGTAAATTTGATTAAAATCGTTGTTCACCTTTGAATTGTTTTGTCAATACCAGGGGAAATATTACTGTGATGATGTTTTGTCTTACACTTTTTATAAGAGTTAAGGCCATTTTACTAAAGCCATTTAATTTTCATCCCAGTTGAATTGGATGCAGCTCAAAGAGACATTGTCTTTATCCTGGATGGGTCTGATGACACCAGGGATGAGTTTAAACAGATGTGTCAGTTTGTTCAAAGAGTCGTGGACAAACTCAATATCGGGCTCAGTGGAGACAGAGTGTCTTTAGTCCAATACAGCAGAGAGCCACGTGTCCATTTTTACCTGAACACACATGCCACAAAGCAAGAAGTTCTCAATTCAATTGAGACACTGCAACACCAGGGAGGAAATCCCCTCAATACAGGAAGAGCCCTTGATTATACAAAAAAGAACATGTTCATTGCTTCTTCTGGGAGCAGACTCCTGGATGGGGTTCCTCAGATTCTTGTGCTTGTGACTGGAGGAAGGTCTCAGGATGATGTTAGAGCTCCAGCTGCAGCTCTGAAACTGGACCAAATTGTACCATTTAGTATTGGCAATCAAAATGCAGATGTTATTCAACTCCAGGCAATCTCGTATACTCCTGGTCATACCCTTACTGTTCCTCAGTTTGATGACCTTCAAACCATTGAGCAGAAACTTTTATCATATGTAAAAATAGTTCCTCGTCAGCCCAGGAGGATTCCACCAACTGCAACAGGTAAGGATCAAATGTCTGTTTTTTTATGTGGTTGATTTAAAGGTGTTATGGACTAGTGACATAACTATATGTATATTTATGCTCCATAGTAACAGATGCTGGAAAAAGAGATGTTGTTTTTTTAATCGATGCCTCTGATGGCACAAAGGAAGATTTCTTAGGAATGCAAAACTTTGTTCAGACCCTGGTTCAGAAACTGGATGTGTCACCAAATAAAGATCGTGTTTCAGTGGTCCAGTACAGTGATGATGCAGCTTTTGATTTTCTTTTGAATACACATTCATCATCAGACGATGTTATAAATCATGTGAAACGTCTAATTCATAAAGGAGGAAGGCTGCGTCTCACTGGGACAGCCTTACAGTATGTAAAGGACAACATGTTTACTGCTGCTGCAGGAAGTAGATATTTGGAGGGTGTGACACAGTTTCTAATTCTGCTGAGTTCTGGAAGGTCTAATGATGACATACGTGGTCCAGTCAAAGCTTTGAAAGATATCGGTGTCATTTCATTAAGTATTGGCACCACAAATGCTGATACACTTGAGTTACAAATAATATCCCATCAACCAAACTACTTTTTCATTTCTGAATTTGAGAACATTCTTGATGTTCAAGATAATATCTCCGCATTAATAAAAGGGTTATCTTACCAACGGCTACCAACAATGGCTCCGCAGGTCTCTGGTAAGAGATTTATTTAATTTCTTAATGTATCTGTGTATGTGTGTACACCAGCCTGACAGCAGTGTTTTATCTATTATAGCACATGATAGCATAAAGAATGCCCACACACATTCTTACATAATCTTCAGATCAGTGTAAACACATGATCTAGTGTTGTAGAATGTGCTATTAAAGTCCTCTATTATAGTAAATCTTTTTGTCTCATTTCTTTATTACAGAATCTGCTAAAAGGGATGTTGCATTTCTTATTGATGGCTCTGATGATTCTAAAATTGGTTTTGAGGCAATTCGCAATTTTATCCAGAGGGTAGTTGAGAGTCTAAATGTGGAGGACGATCTTGATAGGGTGGCGGTTGTTCAGTACAGTCGGGATCCCACAGCTAATTTTTATCTCAGCTCATACTCAACCAAAAAAGAGGTACTAAATTCCATACATTCTATGAGGCACAAAAGTGGAAGGCCACTGAACACTGGAGCTGCTCTACTGTTTATTAAAGAAAATATATTTACACAATCCTCTGGAAGCAGACGTCATGAGGGTGTACCTCAGATTCTGTACTTATTTAGCGGTGGTAGATCTGGTGATGATGTCAGAATCATTTCACAGAATTTAAGAGAAAACAACATACAAGTATTTACAATTGGCACAAGAAATGCAGATACACTTGAGTTACAGACAATGTCTTCAACTCCAGCCTATGCTTTCTCTGTTCCTGACTTCACCTCCATCAACAGCATTGTCCAAAGAGTTGCCTCTGTTTTGACAAGTGGTGATGAAATTCCTGAGCAATTTCCAACTCCCCAGGGTAAGAATTATAATAACTGATATCTTTTCTTGAACATGTTGTTATGTTAAATGAAGAAGAGACTTACAGATGCAGACTGATGTACTGTATGTACTGTAATTCTGGCTTCTATTGTTGTTAAAATACTGTTGTTGTGTTTCCTTGATGAAAATATTCTTCCCTTTATTTATTTTAGGCCAGGCTTTGGATGCAGGAAGAAATATTGTCTTTCTTATTGACGGATCGGATAATGCTAGTGATAGATTCACAACTATACAAGAATTTGTGGCCAGTTTGGCAGAAACATTTGATGTTGGTCAAGAAAAAGATCAAATTGCTGTTGTGCAGTTCAGTAATACTGCAGCAACAAGCTTTAATCTCAGTACATACTCATCCTCTTCTGAGGTGGCAGATGCTGTACGCAACCTCAAACCAATAGGGGGAAGGCCACAATATATTGGCCAGGCTCTACAATTTGTTAGAGACAATATTTTTACCCCTAGAGTTGGAAGTCAGCAAATAGACAGTGTTAGCCAAAATATTGTGCTTGTGGCTGGTGGCAGATCAAGAGATTCTCCTCGTGGACCAGCTAATGCACTAAAGAGTATGGGAGTAGCCATTTTTGCCATTGGGTCAAGGCTGACAGATCCCATGGAAATGGAAGCAATTTCTTCTCGGACAGATTATGCCATTGCTGTTTATGATTTTCATGAATTAAAAAATGTCCGTCAAAGCCTTCTGACAAAACTTATGGGTGTAAGACAAAAAGGAGACATTGAAGTTGATGGTAAGAATAAAAAATAATACATGTTAAAACTTGAAAGATTTGAAGAAGTTTATTGAAGTTCTAAGAATACATGTTGAGGCTTATATGCCTATGGTTTACAATCCTTGTCCTAGGGACCCACTGCTCTGCACATTTTGTATGTGTTCCTTATTTAGAGAGACATACAAAAAGTGCAGAGCGGTGGGTTCCCAGGACCAGGATTGAAAACCACTGTTATAGGCTGATCATTTAAAGTTTATGCTATTCTTTTTTTTTTTTTTTTTTTTTTGGTTGTTTGAAATCTGAATTAGATAGAAAGCTACAGAACATTTTATTGAAAATCTTTATGTATGCGTCTCCTGCCATTGTATATGATTATTAATTAAACTAAGCAAGCAAATTCTAATAAGATGAATACTTTAAAGCTGAATAATTTAAATCTTTCTAATCCTATAATTATTGCGATTCTAGGCACAGGATTTAAAAGGGATATTGCTTTTCTTGTGGATGGTTCAGACAGTACAAGAAGAGGATTTCCAGAAATACGTGATTTTCTGTATAACATTATCACAAATGTTAATGTGGGAATTGATAACGATAGAATCTCAATAATTCAATACAGCAATGTGGCTGTGGCAAATTTTTATTTCAATTCATTCTTAAGAAAGGAAGATGTATTGAATGCAGTAAAAGTGCTTAGCCATAAAGGTGGAAGGCCCTTAAACACAGGATTTGCACTTCAATACGTAAAGGAACATATCTTTATAAGCGCCTCAGGGAGCAGGCACAAAGAAGGTACCCCTCAAATATTAATTCTTTTGACGAGTGGAAAGTCCAGGGACAGAATTTCTGAAGCAGCCTTTGCTCTTAAAAAAAATGGGGTAATCATATATGGAATAGGAGGAAAGTACTCAGACTCTGATGAATTACAGACAATTTCTTCTGAAAATAATGTGCTCTCATTGGCTGACTTCAGTGAATTACCAAAAATTCAAGTACAGCTACTGGAAGCAATGAAATCTAATCCAAGTTACAACAAAACTGAATTGATAGGTAAGTGTAATACTGCTTCCTAATGAGTGAAATTATTTGCTAACACATTACAATACGGGTGCACTAACATGCTTAACGGATGCACAGATGATGCGTCAGAACGCGTAGGCTCACTATTGGCCAGCATCACACTCATGACCAGCGTCGGCCAATAGTGAGCCTACGTTCTGAAATAGCACTGCGCTATTACACTACGTGAACTCACTCTTGAGTCCCACATAGAAGAAAACTAATAGTTGAATAAAGTCGTTATTTTAGTTTTTTTTCTCCACAAAAAGTATTCTCGTCGCTTGATAATTTTAAGGTTGAGCCACTGTAGTCACTTGGACTATTTTAACAATGTTTTTATTTACTTTCTGGCCCGGCAAGTTTAAATTACAATAGAAGCCTATGGAGGAGTGAGACAGCTCTCAGATTTAATAAAAAATATCTTAATTTGTGTTCCGAATATGAACAGAATTCTTACGGGGTTGGAACAACATGAGGGTGAGTAATTACTGACAGAATTTTCATTTTTGGGTGAATTAACCCTTTAACTGAACATTATCTGTGAATAAGTTAAGAATAAATTAAATACATATTAGTGTACCTGTATTGTAAAGTGTTACCAATGCTTCTTTAATGTACAGAAATGTATTATTATTATTATTATTAAGTAAAAAAAATCGGGCTATTATGATATGACATTTCAATAATTGAAATTAAACATTCTACTCAGGAACAATAATTTAAATAAAATAATAATTTTCAAATACAACATTCTTATTAATATTGTGTATTGTAACATGCAATTAGAATTACATCAAAGGTTATGTATTGTGCTCCCCTATTTCACTGTTCCATGTTTGTTTCATAGCTGAGGGTGATAGAAAGAGGAGAGATGTTGTCTTCCTGCTGGATGGATCAGATGGCTCTAGGAATGGGTTCCTTGCAATGAAAGAATTTGTGCAAAGAATGGTGGAGAAATTGGAAGTAGCTGAGAACAGAGATCACGTTTCTGTGGTCCAGTACAGCAGAGACCCAGAGGCCCATTTCTATCTAAACACGTACAAGACAAAGGAAGAAATTCTTGACAGTGTCAGAGGTCTGCGGCACAAAGGAGGCAGACCCCTCTACACGGGGGGAGCGCTCCAGTACGTCATAGACAATGTCTTTACTGCCTCCTCCGGCAGCAGACGGTTGGAGGGTGTGCCGCAGATACTGGTTTTGCTTAGCGGGGGAAGGTCATTTGACAGTATTGAGGCAGCAGCCTCCTCTCTGAAAGAGCTTGGCATCTTGACTTTTGGAATAGGATCGAGGGGCTCTGATAGCAGAGAATTGCAGAGAATTTCATACGACCCCAATTATGCTCTGTCCGTGTCCGACTTCAGTGAGCTTCCAAATGTCCAAGAGCAGCTGCTTGCCTCTGTCAAGACTGTTTCAATTCCCATCACTCCAACTTCACAGACTGTTACCGGTACGTGCGTTGCAGTAATTTACAATACGCTGTGTCTTGTTTTTTCTTCATGATGTCCCTACTTTTTTTTTAACCATAGCTTAGATAGTTAATGAGGTGATGAACTGATGTGTCATTCTGAAGGTTTATGAACGTTATGCACTTTACTTGGTGTTGTTGATGCTGTTTTCCCCCCTCTTAGCTGATTACTTCACACCCAGAAAGGACATAGTGTTTCTGCTGGACGGTTCAGATGGCACTAGGAATTCTTTCCCAGCTATGCGTGATTTCGTGCAGAGAGTAGTGGAGCGACACACCATAGAGGCAAACAGAGACCGTGTTTCTGTGGTGCAGTACAGTAGAGAAGCCGAGGTCCATTTCTATCTAAATAGCTACACGACAAAGGAAGAGGTTCTTGACCGTGTCAGAGGTCTGAGACACAAAGGAGGTAGACCCCTCTACACGGGGGCAGCTCTCCAGTACGTCAGAGACAATGTATTTACTGCCCCCTCCGGCAGCAGACGGTTGGAGGGTGTGCCGCAGATACTGATCTTGCTTAGCGGGGGAAGGTCATTTGACAGTGTTGAGGCAGCAGCCTCCTCTCTGAAAGAGCTTGGCGTCTTGACCTTTGGAATTGGATCGAGGGGCTCTGATAGCAGAGAACTGCAGAGAATCTCATACGACCCCAATTATGCTCTTTCCGTGTCCGACTTCAGTGAGCTTCCAAATGTCCAAGAGCAGCTGCTGGCCTCTGTCCAGGCTGTTGCAATGCCCATCACTCCAACTTCACCGACTCTCACTGGTATGTGCATGGCAGAACGTTGTGACAGCTAGCTCACACGCTGTGCATTGTTGATCTCCCTAAGTAGTAATGAGCAGTGGGACCATTACCCACAGCTTAGGTAGTCGATGAGGTGGTTGAATTAATGTGACATTTTGAAGGTGTTTTGAAATTACTCGGTGTTAATGATGCTGATTTCTTTTCCTAGCTGATGACGCCATACCCAGAAAGGACGTGGTGTTTTTGCTGGACGGTTCAGATGGCACTAGAAATACATTCCCAGCAATGCGTGATTTTGTGCAAAGAGTAGTGGAGCAATTCAACATAGAGGCAAACAGAGACCGTGTTTCTGTGGTGCAGTACAGTAGAGACGCTGAGGTCAATTTCTATCTGAATACCTACGCAACAAAAAGGGAGGTCCTGAACACTGTCAGAGGTCTGAGGCATAGAGGAGGGAGACCCCTCAACACGGGGGCAGCTCTCCAGTACGTGAGGGACAATGTCTTCACCGCCTCTGCGGGGAGTAGAAAGCAAGAGGGTGTCCCTCAGATACTTATCCTCCTCAGTGGAGGACGGTCAAGCGATAACATAGATACACCTGCCTCCTCCCTAAAAGAGAGCGGAATCTTGATTTTTGGCATCGGCACCAGAAATTCGAGCAGAGAGGTGCAGAGAATTGCCAACGACCCTACCTATGCACAGCCCGTCAATGAATTATCTGACCTTCCCAGTGTCCAGCAGCAGTTTATCAGCTCCCTCAACAATGTGCTTGTACAAGTCAAGCCGATGACACCTACTGTGGCGGGTAAGACAGATTATCACACGTCTCTAGAAAACAGCACACTGAGCCCTCCTTCAAAGTGTGCCGTAGACACTATACGGTTTATGTTAGCGATGCATGTTAGCAGAGGCGGGGGAAATTAGCCTAACAAGCAATGGGTTTGAACTCTCTGTAAGCAGTGTTGAGTTTTAATGTGTTTGTTTATTCGCTCGTTCATCAGTTTTAGGCACAGTTTTTGTCTTTTGATGAAAATATCCTTTCAATTATAGACCTCACTTTGTCGTATTCAGTAAGTTTAGGCAGTTTTACTCTTACCAAAATGAGATGCTATTTTAGCAGACAGTAATAACATTTGACTGTTAGATTGGCTGTAAACTAGCTGAAAGGATAGGAGCGATTTTTCCCTTTTGTAGTGGCCGACTAGAGCACACACACGCCCACAGACAATATCAGATACCCAGGGCTCACGTGACTTTGTGTTCCATTCCATTATCCATAGCTGAGCGAAGGATGGCCAGGAGGGATGTAGTGTTCCTGCTGGATGGCTCAGATGGCACAAGGAGCTCTTTCCCTGCAATGCGTGACTTTGTTGAGAGGATGGTGGAGAGACTGAACGTGTCTGAGAAAAGAGACCATGTGTCTGTGGTCCAGTACAGCAGAGATCCAGAGGCCCATTTCTATCTTAACACATACTCGAGGAAGGAGGACGTGCTTGACACGCTCAGGGGTCTGAGGCACAAAGGAGGGAGACCCCTCAACACAGGGGCAGCTCTGCAGTACGTGAGGGACAGTGTCTTCACTGCCTCCTCTGGAAGCAGACTTGTAGAAGGTGTGCCTCAGTTGCTGATTCTGCTGAGTGGTGGAAAGTCATTTGATAATGTTGACACACCAGCCTCATCCCTGAAAGAGCTGGGAGTACTTATCTTTGCGATAGGGTCGAGGATCTCAGACAGCAGGGAACTCCAGAAGATCTCCAATGAGCCTAGTTATGCACTCTCAGTGAGTGACTTTGCTGACCTTCCCAGTGTCCAACAGCAGCTTCTCACCAACATTGACACGGTCTTTGTAGAGGGAACGTCTATCACCACCACGACGATAGGTAAGAAAAAAGCCAAACCGGCTTCCTGTAATTCCTCTCCTTTTATTATGGTCGTAGAGAAATGTGCCATATTGTTCCTCTAGTTCTAATGAGTTTCAGATGGAAATGTAATTCCTCCTCAAGAGTAAAACTTTACGGGAGGTGACGCGATATCGAAGACACAAAAAGCATGATCGAGCACCAAGTGTGTAATGTGTTGTGGGTTTTTTTTCTCTCCTTACAATGTCCCCCACCTGACCCACAAATTTGTCTGTTTTTAGCTGAGGGCCGTAGACAGAGGAGAGATGTTGTCTTCCTGCTGGATGGATCGGATGCCACTAGGAATGGGTTCCCAGCAATGAAAGAATTTGTGCAAAGAATGGTGGAGAAATTGGAAGTAGCTGAGAACAGAGATCACGTTTCTGTGGTCCAGTACAGTAGAGACCCAGAGGCCCATTTCTATCTAAACACGTACAAGACAAAGGAAGAAATTCTTGACAGTGTCAGAGGTCTGCGGCACAAAGGAGGCAGACCCCTCTACACGGGGGCAGCGCTCCAGTACGTCATAGACAGTGTCTTTACTGCCTCCTCCGGCAGCAGACGGTTGGAGGGTGTGCCGCAGATACTGGTTTTGCTTAGCGGGGGAAGGTCATTTGACAGTGTTGAGGCAGCAGCCTCCTCTCTGAAAGAGCTTGGCATCTTGACTTTTGGAATAGGATCGAGGGGCTCTGATAGTAGAGAATTGCAGAGAATTTCATACGACCCCAATTATGCTCTGTCCGTGTCCGACTTCAGTGAGCTTCCAAATGTCCAAGAGCAGCTGCTTGCCTCTGTCAAGGCTGTTTTAATTCCCCTCACTCCAACTTCACAGACTGTTACCGGTACGTGCGTTGCAGTAATTTACAATACGTTGTGTCTTGTTTTTTCTTCATGATGTCCCTACTTTTTTTTAACCATAGCTTAGAGAATTAATGAGGTGATGAACTGATGTGTCATTCTGAAGGTTTATGAACGTTATGCACATTACTTGGTGTTGTTGATGCTGTTTTTCCCCCTCTTAGCTGATAACGTCACACCCAGAAAGGACATAGTGTTTCTGCTGGACGGTTCAGATGGCACTAGGAATTCTTTCCCAGCTATGCGTGATTTCGTACAGAGAGTAGTGGAGCAACACACCATAGAGGCAAACAGAGACCGTGTTTCTGTGGTGCAGTACAGTAGAGAAGCCGAGGTCCATTTCTATCTAAATAGCTACACGACAAAGGAAGAGGTTCTTGACCGTGTCAGAGGTCTGAGACACAAAGGAGGTAGACCCCTCTACACGGGGGCAGCTCTCCAGTACGTCAGAGACAATGTATTTACTGCCCCCTCCGGCAGCAGACGGTTGGAGGGTGTGCCGCAGATACTGATCTTGCTTAGCGGGGGAAGGTCATTCGACAGTGTTGAGGCAGCAGCCTCCTCTCTGAAAGAGCTTGGCGTCTTGACCTTTGGAATTGGATCGAGGGGCTCTGATAGCAGAGAACTGCAGAGAATCTCATACGACCCCAATTATGCTCTTTCCGTGTCCGACTTCAGTGAGCTTCCAAATGTCCAAGAGCAGCTGCTGGCCTCTGTCCAGGCTGTTGCAATGCCCATCACTCCAACTTCACCGGCTCTCACTGGTATGTGCATGGCAGAACTTTGTGACAGCTAGCTCACAGGTTGTGCATTGTTGATCTCCCTAAGTAGTAATGAGCAGTGGGACCATTACCCACAGCTTAGGTAGTCGATGAGGTGGTTGAATTAATGTGACATTTTGAAGGCGTTTTGAAATTACTCGGTGTTAATGATGCTGATTTCTTTTCCTAGCTGATGACGCCATACCCAGAAAGGACGTGGTGTTTTTGCTGGACGGTTCAGATGGCACTAGAAATACATTCCCAGCAATGCGTGATTTTGTGCAAAGAGTAGTGGAGCAATTCAACATAGAGGCAAACAGAGACCGTGTTTCTGTGGTGCAGTACAGTAGAGACGCTGAGGTCAATTTCTATCTGAATACCTACGCAACAAAAGGGGAGGTCCTGAACACTGTCAGAGGTCTGAGGCATAGAGGAGGGAGACCCCTCAACACGGGGGCAGCTCTCCAGTACGTGAGGGACAGTGTCTTCACCGCCTCTGCGGGGAGTAGAAAGCAAGAGGGTGTCCCTCAGATTCTTATCCTCCTCAGTGGAGGACGGTCAAGCGATAACATAGATACACCTGCCTCTGCCCTAAAAGAGAGCGGAATCTTGATTTTTGGCATCGGCACCAGAAATTCGAGCAGAGAGGTGCAGAGAATTGCCAACGACCCTACCTATGCACAGCCCGTCAATGAATTCTCTGACCTTCCCAGTGTCCAGCAGCAGTTTATCAGCTCCCTCAACAATGTGCTTGTACAAGTCAAGCCGATGACACCTACTGTGGCGGGTAAGACAGATTATCACACGTCTCTAGAAAACCGCACACTGAGCCCTCCTTGCAAAGCGTGCCGTAGACACTATACGGTTTATGTTAGCGATGCATGTTAGCAGAGGCGGGGGAAATTAGCCTAACAAGTAATGGGTTTGAACTCTCTGTAAGCAGTGTTGAGTTTTAATGTGTTTGTTTATTCGCTCGTTCATCAGTTTTAGGCACAGTTTTTGTCTTTTGATGAAAATATCCTTTCAATTATAGACCTCACTTTGTCGTATTCAGTAAGTTTAAGCAGTTTTACTCTGACCAAAATGAGATGCTATTTTAGCAGACAGTAATAACATTTGACTGTTAGATTGGCTGTAAACTAGCTGAAAGGATAGGAGCGATTTTTCCCTTTTGTAGTGGCCGACTAGAGCACACACACGCCCACAGACAATATCAGATACCCAGGGCTCACGTGACTTTGTGTTCCATTCCCATTATCCATAGCTGAGCGAAGGATGGCCAGGAGGGATGTAGTGTTCCTGCTGGATGGCTCAGATGGCACAAGGAGCTCTTTCCCTGCAATGCGTGACTTTGTTGAGAGGATGGTGGAGAGACTGAACGTGTCTGAGAAAAGAGACCATGTGTCTGTGGTCCAGTACAGCAGAGATCCAGAGGCCCATTTCTATCTTAACACATACTCGAGGAAGGAGGACGTGCTTGACACGCTCAGGGGTCTGAGGCACAAAGGAGGGAGACCCCTCAACACAGGGGCAGCTCTGCAGTACGTGAGGGACAGTGTCTTCACTGCCTCCTCTGGAAGCAGACTTGTAGAAGGTGTGCCTCAGTTGCTGATTCTGCTGAGTGGTGGAAAGTCATTTGATAATGTTGACACACCAGCCTCATCCCTGAAAGAGCTGGGAGTGCTTATCTTTGCGATAGGGTCGAGGAGCTCAGACAGCAGGGAACTCCAGAAGATCTCCAATGAGCCTAGTTATGCACTCTCAGTGAGTGACTTTGCTGACCTTCCCAGTGTCCAACAGCAGCTTCTCACCAACATTGACACGGTCTTTGTAGAGGGAACGTCTATCACCGCCACGACGATAGGTAAGAAAAAAGCCAAACCGGCTTCCTGTAATTCCTCTCCTTTTATTATGGTCGTAGAGAAATGTGCCATATTGTTCCTCTAGTTCTAATGAGTTTCAGATGGAAATGTAATTCCTCCTGAAGAGTAAAACTTTACGGGAGGTGACGCGATATCGAAGACACAAAAAGCATGATCGAGCACCAAGTGTGTAATGCGTTGTGGGTTTTTTTTCTCTCCTTACAATGTCCCCCACCTGACCCACAAATTTGTCTGTTTTTAGCTGAGGGCCGTAGACAGAGGAGAGATGTTGTCTTCCTGCTGGATGGATCGGATGCCACTAGGAATGGGTTCCCAGCAATGAAAGAATTTGTGCAAAGAATGGTGGAGAAATTGGAAGTAGCTGAGAACAGAGATCACGTTTCTGTGGTCCAGTACAGCAGAGACCCAGAGGCCCATTTCTATCTAAACACGTACAAGACAAAGGAAGAAATTCTTGACAGTGTCAGAGGTCTGCGGCACAAAGGAGGCAGACCCCTCTACACGGGGGCAGCGCTCCAGTACGTCATAGACAGTGTCTTTACTGCCTCCTCCGGCAGCAGACGGTTGGAGGGTGTGCCGCAGATACTGGTTTTGCTTAGCGGGGGAAGGTCATTTGACAGTGTTGAGGCAGCAGCCTCCTCTCTGAAAGAGCTTGGCATCTTGACTTTTGGAATAGGATCGAGGGGCTCTGATAGTAGAGAATTGCAGAGAATTTCATACGACCCCAATTATGCTCTGTCCGTGTCCGACTTCAGTGAGCTTCCAAATGTCCAAGAGCAGCTGCTTGCCTCTGTCAAGGCTGTTTCAATTCCCCTCACTCCAACTTCACAGACTGTTACCGGTACGTGCGTTGCAGTAATTTACAATACGCTGTGTCTTGTTTTTTCTTCATGATGTGCCTACTTTTTTTTAACCATAGCTTAGAGAATTAATGAGGTGATGAACTGATGTGTCATTCTGAAGGTTTATGAACGTTATGCACATTACTTGGTGTTGTTGATGCTGTTTTTCCCCCTCTTAGCTGATTACGTCACACCCAGAAAGGACATAGTGTTTCTGCTGGACGGTTCAGATGGCACTAGGAATTCTTTCCCAGCTATGCGTGATTTCGTGCAGAGAGTAGTGGAGCAACACACCATAGAGGCAAACAGAGACCGTGTTTCTGTGGTGCAGTACAGTAGAGAAGCCGAGGTCCATTTCTATCTAAATAGCTACACGACAAAGGAAGAGGTTCTTGACCGTGTCAGAGGTCTGAGACACAAAGGAGGTAGACCCCTCTACACGGGGGCAGCTCTCCAGTACGTCAGAGACAATGTATTTACTGCCCCCTCCGGCAGCAGACGGTTGGAGGGTGTGCCGCAGATACTGATCTTGCTTAGCGGGAGAAGGTCATTCGACAGTGTTGAGGCAGCAGCCTCCTCTCTGAAAGAGCTTGGCGTCTTGACCTTTGGAATTGGATCGAGGGGCTCTGATAGCAGAGAACTGCAGAGAATCTCATACGACCCCAATTATGCTCTTTCCGTGTCCGACTTCAGTGAGCTTCCAAATGTCCAAGAGCAGCTGCTGGCCTCTGTCCAGGCTGTTGCAATGCCCATCACTCCAACTTCACCGGCTCTCACTGGTATGTGCATGGCAGAACTTTGTGACAGCTAGCTCACAGGTTGTGCATTGTTGATCTCCCTAAGTAGTAATGAGCAGTGGGACCATTACCCACAGCTTAGGTAGTCGATGAGGTGGTTGAATTAATGTGACATTTTGAAGGCGTTTTGAAATTACTCGGTGTTAATGATGCTGATTTCTTTTCCTAGCTGATGACGCCATACCCAGAAAGGACGTGGTGTTTTTGCTGGACGGTTCAGATGGCACTAGAAATACATTCCCAGCAATGCGTGATTTTGTGCAAAGAGTAGTGGAGCAATTCAACATAGAGGCAAACAGAGACCGTGTTTCTGTGGTGCAGTACAGTAGAGACGCTGAGGTCAATTTCTATCTGAATACCTACGCAACAAAAGGGGAGGTCCTGAACACTGTCAGAGGACTGAGGCATAGAGGAGGGAGACCCCTCAACACGGGGGCAGCTCTCCAGTACGTGAGGGACAGTGTCTTCACCGCCTCTGCGGGGAGTAGAAAGCAAGAGGGTGTCCCTCAGATTCTTATCCTCCTCAGTGGAGGACGGTCAAGCGATAACATAGATACACCTGCCTCTGCCCTAAAAGAGAGCGGAATCTTGATTTTTGGCATCGGCACCAGAAATTCGAGCAGAGAGGTGCAGAGAATTGCCAACGACCCTACCTATGCACAGCCCGTCAATGAATTCTCTGACCTTCCCAGTGTCCAGCAGCAGTTTATCAGCTCCCTCAACAATGTGCTTGTACAAGTCAAGCCGATGACACCTACTGTGGCGGGTAAGACAGATTATCACACGTCTCTAGAAAACAGCACACTGAGCCCTCCTTGCAAAGCGTGCCGTAGACACTATACGGTTTATGTTAGCGATGCATGTTAGCAGAGGCGGGGGAAATTAGCCTAACAAGTAATGGGTTTGAACTCTCTGTAAGCAGTGTTGCGTTTTAATGTGTTTGTTTATTCGCTCGTTCATCAGTTTTAGGCACAGTTTTTGTCTTTTGATGAAAATATCCTTTCAATTATAGACCTCACTTTGTCGTATTCAGTAAGTTTAGGCAGTTTTACTCTGACCAAAATGAGATGCTATTTTAGCAGACAGTTATAACATTTGACTGTTAGATTGGCTGTAAACTAGCTGAAAGGATAGGAGCGATTTTTCCCTTTTGTAGTGGCCGACTAGAGCACACACACGCCCACAGACAATATCAGATACCCAGGGCTCACATGACTTTGTGTTCCATTCCATTATCCATAGCTGAGCGAAGGATGGCCAGGAGGGATGTAGTGTTCCTGCTGGATGGCTCAGATGGCACAAGGAGCTCTTTCCCTGCAATGCGTGACTTTGTTGAGAGGATGGTGGAGAGACTGAACGTGTCTGAGAAAAGAGACCATGTGTCTGTGGTCCAGTACAGCAAAGATCCAGAGGCCCATTTCTATCTTAACACATACTCGAGGAAGGAGGACGTGCTTGACACGCTCAGGGGTCTGAGGCACAAAGGAGGGAGACCCCTCAACACAGGGGCAGCTCTGCAGTACGTGAGGGACAGTGTCTTCACTGCCTCCTCTGGAAGCAGACTTGTAGAAGGTGTGCCTCAGTTGCTGATTCTGCTGAGTGGTGGAAAGTCATTTGATAATGTTGACACACCAGCCTCATCCCTGAAAGAGCTGGGAGTGCTTATCTTTGCGATAGGGTCGAGGAGCTCAGACAGCAGGGAACTCCAGAAGATCTCCAATGAGCCTAGTTATGCACTCTCAGTGAGTGACTTTGCTGACCTTCCCAGTGTCCAACAGCAGCTTCTCACCAACATTGACACGGTCTTTGTAGAGGGAACGTCTATCACCATCACGACGATAGGTAAGAAAAAAGCCAAACCGGCTTCCTGTAATTCCTCTCCTTTTATTATGGTCGTAGAGAAATGTGCCATATTGTTCCTCTAGTTCTAATGAGTTTCAGATGGAAATGTAATTCCTCCTGAAGAGTAAAACTTTACGGGAGGTGACGCGATATCGAAGACACAAAAAGCATGATCGAGCACCAAGTGTGTAATGCGTTGTGGGGTTTTTTTCTCTCCTTACAATGTCCCCCACCTGACCCACAAATTTGTCTGTTTTTAGCTGAGGGCCGTAGACAGAGGAGAGATGTTGTCTTCCTGCTGGATGGATCGGATGCCACTAGGAATGGGTTCCCAGCAATGAAAGAATTTGTGCAAAGAATGGTGGAGAAATTGGAAGTAGCTGAGAACAGAGATCACGTTTCTGTGGTCCAGTACAGCAGAGACCCAGAGGCCCATTTCTATCTAAACACGTACAAGACAAAGGAAGAAATTCTTGACAGTGTCAGAGGTCTGCGGCACAAAGGAGGCAGACCCCTCTACACGGGGGCAGCGCTCCAGTACGTCATAGACAGTGTCTTTACTGCCTCCTCCGGCAGCAGACGGTTGGAGGGTGTGCCGCAGATACTGGTTTTGCTTAGCGGGGGAAGGTCATTTGACAGTGTTGAGGCAGCAGCCTCCTCTCTGAAAGAGCTTGGCATCTTGACTTTTGGAATAGGATCGAGGGGCTCTGATAGTAGAGAATTGCAGAGAATTTCATACGACCCCAATTATGCTCTGTCCGTGTCCGACTTCAGTGAGCTTCCAAATGTCCAACAGCAGCTGCTTGCCTCTGTCAAGGCTGTTTCAATTCCCCTCACTCCAACTTCACAGACTGTTACCGGTACGTGCGTTGCAGTAATTTACAATACGCTGTGTCTTGTTTTTTCTTCATGATGTCCCTACTTTTTTTTAACCATAGCTTAGAGAATTAATGAGGTGATGAACTGATGTGTCATTCTGAAGGTTTATGAACGTTATGCACATTACTTGGTGTTGTTGATGCTGTTTTTCCCCCTCTTAGCTGATTACGTCACACCCAGAAAGGACATAGTGTTTCTGCTGGACGGTTCAGATGGCACTAGGAATTCTTTCCCAGCTATGCGTGATTTCGTGCAGAGAGTAGTGGAGCAACACACCATAGAGGCAAACAGAGACCGTGTTTCTGTGGTGCAGTACAGTAGAGAAGCCGAGGTCCATTTCTATCTAAATAGCTACACGACAAAGGAAGAAGTTCTTGACCGTGTCAGAGGTCTGAGACACAAAGGAGGTAGACCCCTCTACACGGGGGCAGCTCTCCAGTACGTCAGAGACAATGTATTTACTGCCCCCTCCGGCAGCAGACGGTTGGAGGGTGTGCCGCAGATACTGATCTTGCTTAGCGGGGGAAGGTCATTCGACAGTGTTGAGGCAGCAGCCTCCTCTCTGAAAGAGCTTGGCGTCTTGACCTTTGGAATTGGATCGAAGGGCTCTGATAGCAGAGAACTGCAGAGAATCTCATACGACCCCAATTATGCTCTTTCCGTGTCCGACTTCAGTGAGCTTCCAAATGTCCAAGAGCAGCTGCTGGCCTCTGTCCAGGCTGTTGCAATGCCCATCACTCCAACTTCACCGGCTCTCACTGGTATGTGCATGGCAGAACTTTGTGACAGCTAGCTCACAGGTTGTGCATTGTTGATCTCCCTAAGTAGTAATGAGCAGTGGGACCATTACCCACAGCTTAGGTAGTCGATGAGGTGGTTGAATTAATGTGACATTTTGAAGGTGTTTTAAAATTACTCGGTGTTAATGATGCTGATTTCTTTTCCTAGCTGATGACGCCATACCCAGAAAGGACGTGGTGTTTTTGCTGGACGGTTCAGATGGCACTAGAAATACATTCCCAGCAATGCGTGATTTTGTGCAAAGAGTAGTGGAGCAATTCAACATAGAGGCAAACAGAGACCGTGTTTCTGTGGTGCAGTACAGTAGAGACGCTGAGGTCAATTTCTATCTGAATACCTACGCAACAAAAGGGGAGGTCCTGAACACTGTCAGAGGTCTGAGACATAGAGGAGGGAGACCCCTCAACACGGGGGCAGCTCTCCAGTACGTGAGGGACAGTGTCTTCACCGCCTCTGCGGGGAGTAGAAAGCAAGAGGGTGTCCCTCAGATTCTTATCCTCCTCAGTGGAGGACGGTCAAGCGATAACATAGATACACCTGCCTCTGCCCTAAAAGAGAGCGGAATCTTGATTTTTGGCATCGGCACCAGAAATTCGAGCAGAGAGGTGCAGAGAATTGCCAACGACCCTACCTATGCACAGCCCGTCAATGAATTCTCTGACCTTCCCAGTGTCCAGCAGCAGTTTATCAGCTCCCTCAACAATGTGCTTGTACAAGTCAAGCCGATGACACCTACTGTGGCGGGTAAGACAGATAATCACACGTCTCTAGAAAACAGCACACTGAGCCCTCCTTGCAAAGCGTGCCGTAGACACTATACGGTTTATGTTAGCGATGCATGTTAGCAGAGGCGGGGGAAATTAGCCTAACAAGTAATGGGTTTGAACTCTCTGTAAGCAGTGTTGCGTTTTAATGTGTTTGTTTATTCGCTCGTTCATCAGTTTTAGGCACAGTTTTTGTCTTTTGATGAAAATATCCTTTCAATTATAGACCTCACTTTGTCGTATTCAGTAAGTTTAGGCAGTTTTACTCTGACCAAAATGAGATGCTATTTTAGCAGACAGTTATAACATTTGACTGTTAGATTGGCTGTAAACTAGCTGAAAGGATAGGAGCGATTTTTCCCTTTTGTAGTGGCCGACTAGAGCACACACACGCCCACAGACAATATCAGATACCCAGGGCTCACATGACTTTGTGTTCCATTCCATTATCCATAGCTGAGCGAAGGATGGCCAGGAGGGATGTAGTGTTCCTGCTGGATGGCTCAGATGGCACAAGGAGCTCTTTCCCTGCAATGCGTGACTTTGTTGAGAGGATGGTGGAGAGACTGAACGTGTCTGAGAAAAGAGACCATGTGTCTGTGGTCCAGTACAGCAAAGATCCAGAGGCCCATTTCTATCTTAACACATACTCGAGGAAGGAGGACGTGCTTGACACGCTCAGGGGTCTGAGGCACAAAGGAGGGAGACCCCTCAACACAGGGGCAGCTCTGCAGTACGTGAGGGACAGTGTCTTCACTGCCTCCTCTGGAAGCAGACTTGTAGAAGGTGTGCCTCAGTTGCTGATTCTGCTGAGTGGTGGAAAGTCATTTGATAATGTTGACACACCAGCCTCATCCCTGAAAGAGCTGGGAGTGCTTATCTTTGCGATAGGGTCGAGGAGCTCAGACAGCAGGGAACTCCAGAAGATCTCCAATGAGCCTAGTTATGCACTCTCAGTGAGTGACTTTGCTGACCTTCCCAGTGTCCAACAGCAGCTTCTCACCAACATTGACACGGTCTTTGTAGAGGGAACGTCTATCACCACCACGACAATAGGTAAGAAAAAAGCCAAACCGGCTTCCTGTAATTCCTCTCCTTTTATTATGGTCGAAGAGAAATGTGCCATATTGTTCCTCTAGTTCTAATGAGTTTCAGATGGAAATGTAATTCCTCCTGAAGAGTAAAACTTTACGGGAGGTGACGCGATATCGAAGACACAAAAAGCATGATCGAGCACCAAGTGTGTAATGCGTTGTGGGTTTTTTTTCTCTCCTTACAATGTCCCCCACCTGACCCACAAATTTGTCTGTTTTTAGCTGAGGGCCGTAGACAGAGGAGAGATGTTGTCTTCCTGCTGGATGGATCGGATGCCACTAGGAATGGGTTCCCAGCAATGAAAGAATTTGTGCAAAGAATGGTGGAGGAATTGGAAGTAGCTGAGAACAGAGATCACGTTTCTGTGGTCCAGTACAGCAGAGACCCAGAGGCCCATTTCTATCTAAACACGTACAAGACAAAGGAAGAAATTCTTGACAGTGTCAGAGGTCTGCGGCACAAAGGAGGCAGACCCCTCTACACGGGGGCAGCGCTCCAGTACGTCATAGACAGTGTCTTTACTGCCTCCTCCGGCAGCAGACGGTTGGAGGGTGTGCCGCAGATACTGGTTTTGCTTAGCGGGGGAAGGTCATTTGACAGTGTTGAGGCAGCAGCCTCCTCTCTGAAAGAGCTTGGCATCTTGACTTTTGGAATAGGATCGAGGGGCTCTGATAGTAGAGAATTGCAGAGAATTTCATACGACCCCAATTATGCTCTGTCCGTGTCCGACTTCAGTGAGCTTCCAAATGTCCAACAGCAGCTGCTTGCCTCTGTCAAGGCTGTTTCAATTCCCCTCACTCCAACTTCACAGACTGTTACCGGTACGTGCGTTGCAGTAATTTACAATACGCTGTGTCTTGTTTTTTCTTCATGATGTCCCTACTTTTTTTTAACCATAGCTTAGAGAATTAATGAGGTGATGAACTGATGTGTCATTCTGAAGGTTTATGAACGTTATGCACATTACTTGGTGTTGTTGATGCTGTTTTTCCCCCTCTTAGCTGATTACGTCACACCCAGAAAGGACATAGTGTTTCTGCTGGACGGTTCAGATGGCACTAGGAATTCTTTCCCAGCTATGCGTGATTTCGTGCAGAGAGTAGTGGAGCAACACACCATAGAGGCAAACAGAGACCGTGTTTCTGTGGTGCAGTACAGTAGAGAAGCCGAGGTCCATTTCTATCTAAATAGCTACACGACAAAGGAAGAGGTTCTTGACCGTGTCAGAGGTCTGAGACACAAAGGAGGTAGACCCCTCTACACGGGGGCAGCTCTCCAGTACGTCAGAGACAATGTATTTACTGCCCCCTCCGGCAGCAGACGGTTGGAGGGTGTGCCGCAGATACTGATCTTGCTTAGCGGGGGAAGGTCATTCGACAGTGTTGAGGCAGCAGCCTCCTCTCTGAAAGAGCTTGGCGTCTTGACCTTTGGAATTGGATCGAGGGGCTCTGATAGCAGAGAACTGCAGAGAATCTCATACGACCCCAATTATGCTCTTTCCGTGTCCGACTTCAGTGAGCTTCCAAATGTCCAAGAGCAGCTGCTGGCCTCTGTCCAGGCTGTTGCAATGCCCATCACTCCAACTTCACCGGCTCTCACTGGTATGTGCATGGCAGAACTTTGTGACAGCTAGCTCACAGGTTGTGCATTGTTGATCTCCCTAAGTAGTAATGAGCAGTGAGTGGGACCATTACCCACAGCTTAGGTAGTCGATGAGGTGGTTGAATTAATGTGACATTTTGAAGGCGTTTTGAAATTACTCGGTGTTAATGATGCTGATTTCTTTTCCTAGCTGATGACGCCATACCCAGAAAGGACGTGGTGTTTTTGCTGGACGGTTCAGATGGCACTAGAAATACATTCCCAGCAATGCGTGATTTTGTGCAAAGAGTAGTGGAGCAATTCAACATAGAGGCAAACAGAGACCGTGTTTCTGTGGTGCAGTACAGTAGAGACGCTGAGGTCAATTTCTATCTGAATACCTACGCAACAAAAGGGGAGGTCCTGAACACTGTCAGAGGTCTGAGGCATAGAGGAGGGAGACCCCTCAACACGGGGGCAGCTCTCCAGTACGTGAGGGACAGTGTCTTCACCGCCTCTGCGGGGAGTAGAAAGCAAGAGGGTGTCCCTCAGATTCTTATCCTCCTCAGTGGAGGACGGTCAAGCGATAACATAGATACACCTGCCTCTGCCCTAAAAGAGAGCGGAATCTTGATTTTTGGCATCGGCACCAGAAATTCGAGCAGAGAGGTGCAGAGAATTGCCAACGACCCTACCTATGCACAGCCCGTCAATGAATTCTCTGACCTTCCCAGTGTCCAGCAGCAGTTTATCAGCTCCCTCAACAATGTGCTTGTACAAGTCAAGCCGATGACACCTACTGTGGCGGGTAAGACAGATTATCACACGTCTCTAGAAAACAGCACACTGAGCCCTCCTTGCAAAGCGTGCCGTAGACACTATACGGTTTATGTTAGCGATGCATGTTAGCAGAGGCGGGGGAAATTAGCCTAACAAGTAATGGGTTTGAACTCTCTGTAAGCAGTGTTGAGTTTTAATGTGTTTGTTTATTCGCTCGTTCATCAGTTTTAGGCACAGTTTTTGTCTTTTGATGAAAATATCCTTTCAATTATAGACCTCACTTTGTCGTATTCAGTAAGTTTAAGCAGTTTTACTCTGACCAAAATGAGATGCTATTTTAGCAGACAGTAATAACATTTGACTGTTAGATTGGCTGTAAACTAGCTGAAAGGATAGGAGCGATTTTTCCCTTTTGTAGTGGCCGACTAGAGCACACACACGCCCACAAACAATATCAGATACCTAGGGCTCACGTGACTTTGTGTTCCATTCCCATTATCCATAGCTGAGCGAAGGATGGCCAGGAGGGATGTAGTGTTCCTGCTGGATGGCTCAGATGGCACAAGGAGCTCTTTCCCTGCAATGCGTGACTTTGTTGAGAGGATGGTGGAGAGACTGAACGTGTCTGAGAAAAGAGACCATGTGTCTGTGGTCCAGTACAGCAGAGATCCAGAGGCCCATTTCTATCTTAACACATACTCGAGGAAGGAGGACGTGCTTGACACGCTCAGGGGTCTGAGGCACAAAGGAGGGAGACCCCTCAACACAGGGGCAGCTCTGCAGTACGTGAGGGACAGTGTCTTCACTGCCTCCTCTGGAAGCAGACTTGTAGAAGGTGTGCCTCAGTTGCTGATTCTGCTGAGTGGTGGAAAGTCATTTGATAATGTTGACACACCAGCCTCATCCCTGAAAGAGCTGGGAGTGCTTATCTTTGCGATAGGGTCGAGGAGCTCAGACAGCAGGGAACTCCAGAAGATCTCCAATGAGCCTAGTTATGCACTCTCAGTGAGTGACTTTGCTGACCTTCCCAGTGTCCAACAGCAGCTTCTCACCAACATTGACACGGTCTTTGTAGAGGGAACGTCTATCACCGCCACGACGATAGGTAAGAAAAAAGCCAAACCGGCTTCCTGTAATTCCTCTCCTTTTATTATGGTCGTAGAGAAATGTGCCATATTGTTCCTCTAGTTCTAATGAGTTTCAGATGGAAATGTAATTCCTCCTGAAGAGTAAAACTTTACGGGAGGTGACGCGATATCGAAGACACAAAAAGCATGATCGAGCACCAAGTGTGTAATGCGTTGTTGGGTTTTTTTCTCTCCTTACAATGTCCCCCACCTGACCCACAAATTTGTCTGTTTTTAGCTGAGGGCCGTAGACAGAGGAGAGATGTTGTCTTCCTGCTGGATGGATCGGATGCCACTAGGAATGGGTTCCCAGCAATGAAAGAATTTGTGCAAAGAATGGTGGAGAAATTGGAAGTAGCTGAGAACAGAGATCACGTTTCTGTGGTCCAGTACAGCAGAGACCCAGAGGCCCATTTCTATCTAAACACGTACAAGACAAAGGAAGAAATTCTTGACAGTGTCAGAGGTCTGCAGCACAAAGGAGGCAGACCCCTCTACACGGGGGCAGCGCTCCAGTACGTCATAGACAGTGTCTTTACTGCCTCCTCCGGCAGCAGACGGTTGGAGGGTGTGCCGCAGATACTGGTTTTGCTTAGCGGGGGAAGGTCATTTGACAGTGTTGAGGCAGCAGCCTCCTCTCTGAAAGAGCTTGGCATCTTGACTTTTGGAATAGGATCGAGGGGCTCTGATAGTAGAGAATTGCAGAGAATTTCATACGACCCCAATTATGCTCTGTCCGTGTCCGACTTCAGTGAGCTTCCAAATGTCCAAGAGCAGCTGCTTGCCTCTGTCAAGGCTGTTTCAATTCCCCTCACTCCAACTTCACAGACTGTTACCGGTACGTGCGTTGCAGTAATTTACAATACGCTGTGTCTTGTTTTTTCTTCATGATGTCCCTACTTTTTTTTAACCATAGCTTAGAGAATTAATGAGGTGATGAACTGATGTGTCATTCTGAAGGTTTATGAACGTTATGCACATTACTTGGTGTTGTTGATGCTGTTTTTCCCCCTCTTAGCTGATTACGTCACACCCAGAAAGGACATAGTGTTTCTGCTGGACGGTTCAGATGGCACTAGGAATTCTTTCCCAGCTATGCGTGATTTCGTGCAGAGAGTAGTGGAGCAACACACCATAGAGGCAAACAGAGACCGTGTTTCTGTGGTGCAGTACAGTAGAGAAGCCGAGGTCCATTTCTATCTAAATAGCTACACGACAAAGGAAGAGGTTCTTGACCGTGTCAGAGGTCTGAGACACAAAGGAGGTAGACCCCTCTACACGGGGGCAGCTCTCCAGTACGTCAGAGACAATGTATTTACTGCCCCCTCCGGCAGCAGGTGGTTGGAGGGTGTGCCGCAGATACTGATCTTGCTTAGCGGGGGAAGGTCATTCGACAGTGTTGAGGCAGCAGCCTCCTCTCTGAAAGAGCTTGGCGTCTTGACCTTTGGAATTGGATCGAGGGGCTCTGATAACAGAGAACTGCAGAGAATCTCATACGACCCCAATTATGCTCTTTCCGTGTCCGACTTCAGTGAGCTTCCAAATGTCCAAGAGCAGCTGCTGGCCTCTGTCCAGGCTGTTGCAATGCCCATCACTCCAACTTCACCGGCTCTCACTGGTATGTGCATGGCAGAACTTTGTGACAGCTAGCTCACAGGTTGTGCATTGTTGATCTCCCTAAGTAGTAATGAGCAGTGGGACCATTACCCACAGCTTAGGTAGTCGATGAGGTGGTTGAATTAATGTGACATTTTGAAGGTGTTTTGAAATTACTCGGTGTTAATGATGCTGATTTCTTTTCCTAGCTGATGACGCCATACCCAGAAAGGACGTGGTGTTTTTGCTGGACGGTTCAGATGGCACTAGAAATACATTCCCAGCAATGCGTGATTTTGTGCAAAGAGTAGTGGAGCAATTCAACATAGAGGCAAACAGAGACCGTGTTTCTGTGGTGCAGTACAGTAGAGACGCTGAGGTCAATTTCTATCTGAATACCTACGCAACAAAAGGGGAGGTCCTGAACACTGTCAGAGGTCTGAGGCATAGAGGAGGGAGACCCCTCAACACGGGGGCAGCTCTCCAGTACGTGAGGGACAGTGTCTTCACCGCCTCTGCGGGGAGTAGAAAGCAAGAGGGTGTCCCTCAGATTCTTATCCTCCTCAGTGGAGGACGGTCAAGCGATAACATAGATACACCTGCCTCTGCCCTAAAAGAGAGCGGAATCTTGATTTTTGGCATCGGCACCAGAAATTCGAGCAGAGAGGTGCAGAGAATTGCCAACGACCCTACCTATGCACAGCCCGTCAATGAATTCTCTGACCTTCCCAGTGTCCAGCAGCAGTTTATCAGCTCCCTCAACAATGTGCTTGTACAAGTCAAGCCGATGACACCTACTGTGGCGGGTAAGACAGATTATCACACGTCTCTAGAAAACAGCACACTGAGCCCTCCTTGCAAAGCGTGCCGTAGACACTATACGGTTTATGTTAGCGATGCATGTTAGCAGAGGCGGGGGAAATTAGCCTAACAAGTAATGGGTTTGAACTCTCTGTAAGCAGTGTTGAGTTTTAATGTGTTTGTTTATTCGCTCGTTCATCAGTTTTAGGCACAGTTTTTGTCTTTTGATGAAAATATCCTTTCAATTATAGACCTCACTTTGTCGTATTCAGTAAGTTTAAGCAGTTTTACTCTGACCAAAATGAGATGCTATTTTAGCAGACAGTAATAACATTTGACTGTTAGATTGGCTGTAAACTAGCTGAAAGGATAGGAGCGATTTTTCCCTTTTGTAGTGGCCGACTAGAGCACACACACGCCCACAGACAATATCAGATACCCAGGGCTCACGTGACTTTGTGTTCCATTCCATTATCCATAGCTGAGCGAAGGATGGCCAGGAGGGATGTAGTGTTCCTGCTGGATGGCTCAGATGGCACAAGGAGCTCTTTCCCTGCAATGCGTGACTTTGTTGAGAGGATGGTGGAGAGACTGAACGTGTCTGAGAAAAGAGACCATGTGTCTGTGGTCCAGTACAGCAGAGATCCAGAGGCCCATTTCTATCTTAACACATACTCGAGGAAGGAGGACGTGCTTGACACGCTCAGGGGTCTGAGGCACAAAGGAGGGAGACCCCTCAACACAGGGGCAGCTCTGCAGTACGTGAGGGACAGTGTCTTCACTGCCTCCTCTGGAAGCAGACTTGTAGAAGGTGTGCCTCAGTTGCTGATTCTGCTGAGTGGTGGAAAGTCATTTGATAATGTTGACACACCAGCCTCATCCCTGAAAGAGCTGGGAGTGCTTATCTTTGCGATAGGGTCGAGGAGCTCAGACAGCAGGGAACTCCAGAAGATCTCCAATGAGCCTAGTTATGCACTCTCAGTGAGTGACTTTGCTGACCTTCCCAGTGTCCAACAGCAGCTTCTCACCAACATTGACACGGTCTTTGTAGAGGGAACGTCTATCACCGCCACAACGATAGGTAAGAAAAAAGCCAAACCGGCTTCCTGTAATTCCTCTCCTTTTATTATGGTCGTAGAGAAATGTGCCATATTGTTCCTCTAGTTCTAATGAGCTTCAGATGGAAATGTAATTCCTCCTGAAGAGTAAAACTTTACGGGAGGTGACGCGATATCGAAGACACAAAAAGCATGATCGAGCACCAAGTGTGTAATGCGTTGTGGGGTTTTTTTCTCTCCTTACAATGTCCCCCACCTGACCCACAAATTTGTCTGTTTTTAGCTGAGGGCCGTAGACAGAGGAGAGATGTTGTCTTCCTGCTGGATGGATCGGATGCCACTAGGAATGGGTTCCCAGCAATGAAAGAATTTGTGCAAAGAATGGTGGAGAAATTGGAAGTAGCTGAGAACAGAGATCACGTTTCTGTGGTCCAGTACAGCAGAGACCCAGAGGCCCATTTCTATCTAAACACGTACAAGACAAAGGAAGAAATTCTTGACAGTGTCAGAGGTCTGCGGCACAAAGGAGGCAGACCCCTCTACACAGGGGCAGCGCTCCAGTACGTCATAGACAGTGTCTTTACTGCCTCCTCCGGCAGCAGACGGTTGGAGGGTGTGCCGCAGATACTGGTTTTGCTTAGCGGGGGAAGGTCATTTGACAGTGTTGAGGCAGCAGCCTCCTCTCTGAAAGAGCTTGGCATCTTGACTTTTGGAATAGGATCGAGGGGCTCTGATAGTAGAGAATTGCAGAGAATTTCATACGACCCCAATTATGCTCTGTCCGTGTCCGACTTCAGTGAGCTTCCAAATGTCCAAGAGCAGCTGCTTGCCTCTGTCAAGGCTGTTTCAATTCCCCTCACTCCAACTTCACAGACTGTTACCGGTACGTGCGTTGCAGTAATTTACAATACGCTGTGTCTTGTTTTTTCTTCATGATGTCCCTACATTTTTTTTAACCATAGCTTAGAGAATTAATGAGGTGATGAACTGATGTGTCATTCTGAAGGTTTATGAACGTTATGCACATTACTTGGTGTTGTTGATGCTGTTTTTCCCCCTCTTAGCTGATTACGTCACACCCAGAAAGGACATAGTGTTTCTGCTGGACGGTTCAGATGGCACTAGGAATTCTTTCCCAGCTATGCGTGATTTCGTGCAGAGAGTAGTGGAGCAACACACCATAGAGGCAAACAGAGACCGTGTTTCTGTGGTGCAGTACAGTAGAGAAGCCGAGGTCCATTTCTATCTAAATAGCTACACGACAAAGGAAGAGGTTCTTGACCGTGTCAGAGGTCTGAGACACAAAGGAGGTAGACCCCTCTACACGGGGGCAGCTCTCCAGTACGTCAGAGACAATGTATTTACTGCCCCCTCCGGCAGCAGACGGTTGGAGGGTGTGCCGCAGATACTGATCTTGCTTAGCGGGGGAAGGTCATTCGACAGTGTTGAGGCAGCAGCCTCCTCTCTGAAAGAGCTTGGCGTCTTGACCTTTGGAATTGGATCGAGGGGCTCTGATAGCAGAGAACTGCAGAGAATCTCATACGACCCCAATTATGCTCTTTCCGTGTCCGACTTCAGTGAGCTTCCAAATGTCCAAGAGCAGCTGCTGGCCTCTGTCCAGGCTGTTGCAATGCCCATCACTCCAACTTCACCGGCTCTCACTGGTATGTGCATGGCAGAACTTTGTGACAGCTAGCTCACAGGTTGTGCATTGTTGATCTCCCTAAGTAGTAATGAGCAGTGGGACCATTACCCACAGCTTAGGTAGTCGATGAGGTGGTTGAATTAATGTGACATTTTGAAGGTGTTTTGAAATTACTCGGTGTTAATGATGCTGATTTCTTTTCCTAGCTGATGACGCCATACCCAGAAAGGACGTGGTGTTTTTGCTGGACGGTTCAGATGGCACTAGAAATACATTCCCAGCCATGCGTGATTTTGTGCAAAGAGTAGTGGAGCAATTCAACATAGAGGCAAACAGAGACCGTGTTTCTGTGGTGCAGTACAGTAGAGACGCTGAGGTCAATTTCTATCTGAATACCTACGCAACAAAAGGGGAGGTCCTGAACACTGTCAGAGGTCTGAGGCATAGAGGAGGGAGACCCCTCAACACGGGGGCAGCTCTCCAGTACGTGAGGGACAGTGTCTTCACCGCCTCTGCGGGGAGTAGAAAGCAAGAGGGTGTCCCTCAGATTCTTATCCTCCTCAGTGGAGGACGGTCAAGCGATAACATAGATACACCTGCCTCTGCCCTAAAAGAGAGCGGAATCTTGATTTTTGGCATCGGCACCAGAAATTCGAGCAGAGAGGTGCAGAGAATTGCCAACGACCCTACCTATGCACAGCCCGTCAATGAATTCTCTGACCTTCCCAGTGTCCAGCAGCAGTTTATCAGCTCCCTCAACAATGTGCTTGTACAAGTCAAGCCGATGACACCTACTGTGGCGGGTAAGACAGATTATCACACGTCTCTAGAAAACAGCACACTGAGCCCTCCTTGCAAAGCGTGCCGTAGACACTATACGGTTTATGTTAGCGATGCATGTTAGCAGAGGCGGGGGAAATTAGCCTAACAAGTAATGGGTTTGAACTCTCTGTAAGCAGTGTTGCGTTTTAATGTGTTTGTTTATTCGCTCGTTCATCAGTTTTAGGCACAGTTTTTGTCTTTTGATGAAAATATCCTTTCAATTATAGACCTCACTTTGTCGTATTCAGTAAGTTTAGGCAGTTTTACTCTGACCAAAATGAGATGCTATTTTAGCAGACAGTTATAACATTTGACTGTTAGATTGGCTGTAAACTAGCTGAAAGGATAGGAGCGATTTTTCCCTTTTGTAATGGCCGACTAGAGCACACACACGCCCACAGACAATATCAGATACCCAGGGCTCACATGACTTTGTGTTCCATTCCATTATCCATAGCTGAGCGAAGGATGGCCAGGAGGGATGTAGTGTTCCTGCTGGATGGCTCAGATGGCACAAGGAGCTCTTTCCCTGCAATGCGTGACTTTGTTGAGAGGATGGTGGAGAGACTGAACGTGTCTGAGAAAAGAGACCATGTGTCTGTGGTCCAGTACAGCAAAGATCCAGAGGCCCATTTCTATCTTAACACATACTCGAGGAAGGAGGACGTGCTTGACACGCTCAGGGGTCTGAGGCACAAAGGAGGGAGACCCCTCAACACAGGGGCAGCTCTGCAGTACGTGAGGGACAGTGTCTTCACTGCCTCCTCTGGAAGCAGACTTGTAGAAGGTGTGCCTCAGTTGCTGATTCTGCTGAGTGGTGGAAAGTCATTTGATAATGTTGACACACCAGCCTCATCCCTGAAAGAGCTGGGAGTGCTTATCTTTGCGATAGGGTCGAGGAGCTCAGACAGCAGGGAACTCCAGAAGATCTCCAATGAGCCTAGTTATGCACTCTCAGTGAGTGACTTTGCTGACCTTCCCAGTGTCCAACAGCAGCTTCTCACCAACATTGACACGGTCTTTGTAGAGGGAACGTCTATCACCACCACGACAATAGGTAAGAAAAAAGCCAAACCGGCTTCCTGTAATTCCTCTCCTTTTATTATGGTCGAAGAGAAATGTGCCATATTGTTCCTCTAGTTCTAATGAGTTTCAGATGGAAATGTAATTCCTCCTGAAGAGTAAAACTTTACGGGAGGTGACGCGATATCGAAGACACAAAAAGCATGATCGAGCACCAAGTGTGTAATGCGTTGTGGGTTTTTTTTCTCTCCTTACAATGTCCCCCACCTGACCCACAAATTTGTCTGTTTTTAGCTGAGGGCCGTAGACAGAGGAGAGATGTTGTCTTCCTGCTGGATGGATCGGATGCCACTAGGAATGGGTTCCCAGCAATGAAAGAATTTGTGCAAAGAATGGTGGAGAAATTGGAAGTAGCTGAGAACAGAGATCACGTTTCTGTGGTCCAGTACAGCAGAGACCCAGAGGCCCATTTCTATCTAAACACGTACAAGACAAAGGAAGAAATTCTTGACAGTGTCAGAGGTCTGCGGCACAAAGGAGGCAGACCCCTCTACACGGGGGCAGCGCTCCAGTACGTCATAGACAGTGTCTTTACTGCCTCCTCCGGCAGCAGACGGTTGGAGGGTGTGCCGCAGATACTGGTTTTGCTTAGCGGGGGAAGGTCATTTGACAGTGTTGAGGCAGCAGCCTCCTCTCTGAAAGAGCTTGGCATCTTGACTTTTGGAATAGGATCGAGGGGCTCTGATAGTAGAGAATTGCAGAGAATTTCATACGACCCCAATTATGCTCTGTCCGTGTCCGACTTCAGTGAGCTTCCAAATGTCCAACAGCAGCTGCTTGCCTCTGTCAAGGCTGTTTCAATTCCCCTCACTCCAACTTCACAGACTGTTACCGGTACGTGCGTTGCAGTAATTTACAATACGCTGTGTCTTGTTTTTTCTTCATGATGTCCCTACTTTTTTTTAACCATAGCTTAGAGAATTAATGAGGTGATGAACTGATGTGTCATTCTGAAGGTTTATGAACGTTATGCACATTACTTGGTGTTGTTGATGCTGTTTTTCCCCCTCTTAGCTGATTACGTCACACCCAGAAAGGACATAGTGTTTCTGCTGGACGGTTCAGATGGCACTAGGAATTCTTTCCCAGCTATGCGTGATTTCGTGCAGAGAGTAGTGGAGCAACACACCATAGAGGCAAACAGAGACCGTGTTTCTGTGGTGCAGTACAGTAGAGAAGCCGAGGTCCATTTCTATCTAAATAGCTACACGACAAAGGAAGAGGTTCTTGACCGTGTCAGAGGTCTGAGACACAAAGGAGGTAGACCCCTCTACACGGGGGCAGCTCTCCAGTACGTCAGAGACAATGTATTTACTGCCCCCTCCGGCAGCAGACGGTTGGAGGGTGTGCCGCAGATACTGATCTTGCTTAGCGGGGGAAGGTCATTCGACAGTGTTGAGGCAGCAGCCTCCTCTCTGAAAGAGCTTGGCGTCTTGACCTTTGGAATTGGATCGAGGGGCTCTGATAGCAGAGAACTGCAGAGAATCTCATACGACCCCAATTATGCTCTTTCCGTGTCCGACTTCAGTGAGCTTCCAAATGTCCAAGAGCAGCTGCTGGCCTCTGTCCAGGCTGTTGCAATGCCCATCACTCCAACTTCACCGGCTCTCACTGGTATGTGCATGGCAGAACTTTGTGACAGCTAGCTCACAGGTTGTGCATTGTTGATCTCCCTAAGTAGTAATGAGCAGTGGGACCATTACCCACAGCTTAGGTAGTCGATGAGGTGGTTGAATTAATGTGACATTTTGAAGGCGTTTTGAAATTACTCGGTGTTAATGATGCTGATTTCTTTTCCTAGCTGATGACGCCATACCCAGAAAGGACGTGGTGTTTTTGCTGGACGGTTCAGATGGCACTAGAAATACATTCCCAGCAATGCGTGATTTTGTGCAAAGAGTAGTGGAGCAATTCAACATAGAGGCAAACAGAGACCGTGTTTCTGTGGTGCAGTACAGTAGAGACGCTGAGGTCAATTTCTATCTGAATACCTACGCAACAAAAGGGGAGGTCCTGAACACTGTCAGAGGTCTGAGGCATAGAGGAGGGAGACCCCTCAACACGGGGGCAGCTCTCCAGTACGTGAGGGACAGTGTCTTCACCGCCTCTGCGGGGAGTAGAAAGCAAGAGGGTGTCCCTCAGATTCTTATCCTCCTCAGTGGAGGACGGTCAAGCGATAACATAGATACACCTGCCTCTGCCCTAAAAGAGAGCGGAATCTTGATTTTTGGCATCGGCACCAGAAATTCGAGCAGAGAGGTGCAGAGAATTGCCAACGACCCTACCTATGCACAGCCCGTCAATGAATTCTCTGACCTTCCCAGTGTCCAGCAGCAGTTTATCAGCTCCCTCAACAATGTGCTTGTACAAGTCAAGCCGATGACACCTACTGTGGCGGGTAAGACAGATTATCACACGTCTCTAGAAAACAGCACACTGAGCCCTCCTTGCAAAGCGTGCCGTAGACACTATACGGTTTATGTTAGCGATGCATGTTAGCAGAGGCGGGGGAAATTAGCCTAACAAGTAATGGGTTTGAACTCTCTGTAAGCAGTGTTGAGTTTTAATGTGTTTGTTTATTCGCTCGTTCATCAGTTTTAGGCACAGTTTTTGTCTTTTGATGAAAATATCCTTTCAATTATAGACCTCACTTTGTCGTATTCAGTAAGTTTAAGCAGTTTTACTCTGACCAAAATGAGATGCTATTTTAGCAGACAGTAATAACATTTGACTGTTAGATTGGCTGTAAACTAGCTGAAAGGATAGGAGCGATTTTTCCCTTTTGTAGTGGCCGACTAGAGCACACACACGCCCACAGACAATATCAGATACCCAGGGCTCACGTGACTTTGTGTTCCATTCCCATTATCCATAGCTGAGCGAAGGATGGCCAGGAGGGATGTAGTGTTCCTGCTGGATGGCTCAGATGGCACAAGGAGCTCTTTCCCTGCAATGCGTGACTTTGTTGAGAGGATGGTGGAGAGACTGAACGTGTCTGAGAAAAGAGACCATGTGTCTGTGGTCCAGTACAGCAGAGATCCAGAGGCCCATTTCTATCTTAACACATACTCGAGGAAGGAGGACGTGCTTGACACGCTCAGGGGTCTGAGGCACAAAGGAGGGAGACCCCTCAACACAGGGGCAGCTCTGCAGTACGTGAGGGACAGTGTCTTCACTGCCTCCTCTGGAAGCAGACTTGTAGAAGGTGTGCCTCAGTTGCTGATTCTGCTGAGTGGTGGAAAGTCATTTGATAATGTTGACACACCAGCCTCATCCCTGAAAGAGCTGGGAGTGCTTATCTTTGCGATAGGGTCGAGGAGCTCAGACAGCAGGGAACTCCAGAAGATCTCCAATGAGCCTAGTTATGCACTCTCAGTGAGTGACTTTGCTGACCTTCCCAGTGTCCAACAGCAGCTTCTCACCAACATTGACACGGTCTTTGTAGAGGGAACGTCTATCACCGCCACGACGATAGGTAAGAAAAAAGCCAAACCGGCTTCCTGTAATTCCTCTCCTTTTATTATGGTCGTAGAGAAATGTGCCATATTGTTCCTCTAGTTCTAATGAGTTTCAGATGGAAATGTAATTCCTCCTGAAGAGTAAAACTTTACGGGAGGTGACGCGATATCGAAGACACAAAAAGCATGATCGAGCACCAAGTGTGTAATGCGTTGTTGGGTTTTTTTCTCTCCTTACAATGTCCCCCACCTGACCCACAAATTTGTCTGTTTTTAGCTGAGGGCCGTAGACAGAGGAGAGATGTTGTCTTCCTGCTGGATGGATCGGATGCCACTAGGAATGGGTTCCCAGCAATGAAAGAATTTGTGCAAAGAATGGTGGAGAAATTGGAAGTAGCTGAGAACAGAGATCACGTTTCTGTGGTCCAGTACAGCAGAGACCCAGAGGCCCATTTCTATCTAAACACGTACAAGACAAAGGAAGAAATTCTTGACAGTGTCAGAGGTCTGCAGCACAAAGGAGGCAGACCCCTCTACACGGGGGCAGCGCTCCAGTACGTCATAGACAGTGTCTTTACTGCCTCCTCCGGCAGCAGACGGTTGGAGGGTGTGCCGCAGATACTGGTTTTGCTTAGCGGGGGAAGGTCATTTGACAGTGTTGAGGCAGCAGCCTCCTCTCTGAAAGAGCTTGGCATCTTGACTTTTGGAATAGGATCGAGGGGCTCTGATAGTAGAGAATTGCAGAGAATTTCATACGACCCCAATTATGCTCTGTCCGTGTCCGACTTCAGTGAGCTTCCAAATGTCCAAGAGCAGCTGCTTGCCTCTGTCAAGGCTGTTTCAATTCCCCTCACTCCAACTTCACAGACTGTTACCGGTACGTGCGTTGCAGTAATTTACAATACGCTGTGTCTTGTTTTTTCTTCATGATGTCCCTACTTTTTTTTAACCATAGCTTAGAGAATTAATGAGGTGATGAACTGATGTGTCATTCTGAAGGTTTATGAACGTTATGCACATTACTTGGTGTTGTTGATGCTGTTTTTCCCCCTCTTAGCTGATTACGTCACACCCAGAAAGGACATAGTGTTTCTGCTGGACGGTTCAGATGGCACTAGGAATTCTTTCCCAGCTATGCGTGATTTCGTGCAGAGAGTAGTGGAGCAACACACCATAGAGGCAAACAGAGACCGTGTTTCTGTGGTGCAGTACAGTAGAGAAGCCGAGGTCCATTTCTATCTAAATAGCTACACGACAAAGGAAGAGGTTCTTGACCGTGTCAGAGGTCTGAGACACAAAGGAGGTAGACCCCTCTACACGGGGGCAGCTCTCCAGTACGTCAGAGACAATGTATTTACTGCCCCCTCCGGCAGCAGGTGGTTGGAGGGTGTGCCGCAGATACTGATCTTGCTTAGCGGGGGAAGGTCATTCGACAGTGTTGAGGCAGCAGCCTCCTCTCTGAAAGAGCTTGGCGTCTTGACCTTTGGAATTGGATCGAGGGGCTCTGATAACAGAGAACTGCAGAGAATCTCATACGACCCCAATTATGCTCTTTCCGTGTCCGACTTCAGTGAGCTTCCAAATGTCCAAGAGCAGCTGCTGGCCTCTGTCCAGGCTGTTGCAATGCCCATCACTCCAACTTCACCGGCTCTCACTGGTATGTGCATGGCAGAACTTTGTGACAGCTAGCTCACAGGTTGTGCATTGTTGATCTCCCTAAGTAGTAATGAGCAGTGGGACCATTACCCACAGCTTAGGTAGTCGATGAGGTGGTTGAATTAATGTGACATTTTGAAGGTGTTTTGAAATTACTCGGTGTTAATGATGCTGATTTCTTTTCCTAGCTGATGACGCCATACCCAGAAAGGACGTGGTGTTTTTGCTGGACGGTTCAGATGGCACTAGAAATACATTCCCAGCAATGCGTGATTTTGTGCAAAGAGTAGTGGAGCAATTCAACATAGAGGCAAACAGAGACCGTGTTTCTGTGGTGCAGTACAGTAGAGACGCTGAGGTCAATTTCTATCTGAATACCTACGCAACAAAAGGGGAGGTCCTGAACACTGTCAGAGGTCTGAGGCATAGAGGAGGGAGACCCCTCAACACGGGGGCAGCTCTCCAGTACGTGAGGGACAGTGTCTTCACCGCCTCTGCGGGGAGTAGAAAGCAAGAGGGTGTCCCTCAGATTCTTATCCTCCTCAGTGGAGGACGGTCAAGCGATAACATAGATACACCTGCCTCTGCCCTAAAAGAGAGCGGAATCTTGATTTTTGGCATCGGCACCAGAAATTCGAGCAGAGAGGTGCAGAGAATTGCCAACGACCCTACCTATGCACAGCCCGTCAATGAATTCTCTGACCTTCCCAGTGTCCAGCAGCAGTTTATCAGCTCCCTCAACAATGTGCTTGTACAAGTCAAGCCGATGACACCTACTGTGGCGGGTAAGACAGATTATCACACGTCTCTAGAAAACAGCACACTGAGCCCTCCTTGCAAAGCGTGCCGTAGACACTATACGGTTTATGTTAGCGATGCATGTTAGCAGAGGCGGGGGAAATTAGCCTAACAAGTAATGGGTTTGAACTCTCTGTAAGCAGTGTTGAGTTTTAATGTGTTTGTTTATTCGCTCGTTCATCAGTTTTAGGCACAGTTTTTGTCTTTTGATGAAAATATCCTTTCAATTATAGACCTCACTTTGTCGTATTCAGTAAGTTTAAGCAGTTTTACTCTGACCAAAATGAGATGCTATTTTAGCAGACAGTAATAACATTTGACTGTTAGATTGGCTGTAAACTAGCTGAAAGGATAGGAGCGATTTTTCCCTTTTGTAGTGGCCGACTAGAGCACACACACGCCCACAGACAATATCAGATACCCAGGGCTCACGTGACTTTGTGTTCCATTCCATTATCCATAGCTGAGCGAAGGATGGCCAGGAGGGATGTAGTGTTCCTGCTGGATGGCTCAGATGGCACAAGGAGCTCTTTCCCTGCAATGCGTGACTTTGTTGAGAGGATGGTGGAGAGACTGAACGTGTCTGAGAAAAGAGACCATGTGTCTGTGGTCCAGTACAGCAGAGATCCAGAGGCCCATTTCTATCTTAACACATACTCGAGGAAGGAGGACGTGCTTGACACGCTCAGGGGTCTGAGGCACAAAGGAGGGAGACCCCTCAACACAGGGGCAGCTCTGCAGTACGTGAGGGACAGTGTCTTCACTGCCTCCTCTGGAAGCAGACTTGTAGAAGGTGTGCCTCAGTTGCTGATTCTGCTGAGTGGTGGAAAGTCATTTGATAATGTTGACACACCAGCCTCATCCCTGAAAGAGCTGGGAGTGCTTATCTTTGCGATAGGGTCGAGGAGCTCAGACAGCAGGGAACTCCAGAAGATCTCCAATGAGCCTAGTTATGCACTCTCAGTGAGTGACTTTGCTGACCTTCCCAGTGTCCAACAGCAGCTTCTCACCAACATTAACACAATACTTTTAGACGGCATGTCCATCACTACTACTGTAATAGGTAAGAAAAAGATAAAACATGCTTGCTTTATTTATTTTCAATGTTTATGGTACTCGCTAAGGTAAGTATCACCAGCAGTATGTAAACTTCTTCTCTTGAATTATCCTTTACCATTTTGCTTAAAACACTAACGTTGCCTAAAGATTGGTGGCTTGTTGCGGAGAGATGTACTATTATTTTTTTGGTTCAGGAAAATTTGCAATCTTTTATTTATGTAGAGACCCACATCATATCTAAGGATCATAGTGTCAGAAATACTTTGGTATGGGTCTTTTACTTTTTATTCAATAAGAAGCATCAAACATCCACCTTGAAGCACATTGACAACCACACAGACACCTTAGTGAAAGTGTTACTTATGAAGTTTACTTTAAAAATAATTTAGAACATCAAACATCATCATAGCAGCTAGCATCTTAGCATAGAGAGTTTCATGGCAAATTTTACATGTATTTCTTTATTCATGTCCTTTATTCCTTTTGCACATTGTGAACTTTGTGTAATTTTTCCCAAAACATTACTGTTTTAAATGGAAACATCTTTATTTGGTATTGCATCTTTAGAGATTAATTATATTCAAAATTGTATACATGTGGTATACTAATACCATATACATGCCAGAGGTGGAAAGTAACGAATTACATTTACTCGCGTTACGTAATTGAGTAGTTTTTTTGTGTACTTCTACTTTAAGTAGTTTTTAAAATCTGTACTTTTACTTTTACTTAAGTACGTTTTCTTTGAAGTATTGTACTTCGCTACATTTTAAATCATATCCGTTACTGAGTAAAAAATAATAATACAAGAAGAAAAGAAAAAAAAAAACACTCCGGAAACTACTGCATAGCCTACTCAAGTACGCGTGACATTCAGAGTCTCACAAACAATTTGAGGATATGAATACATGAACATTTCCAGAGCTGCTCTGAGAGAATGAGCATTTTCATAATTTTATTTGAGATAAACCATTGTCAAATACACTTTGAAAGACTTTTTTACACTTTTGGTCTTCACTACAACCCGTCAAAATAAAAGTTTGGTTTATAGGAGAAATTAGGACAGAAATATTACTATTATAGGCATACAATAGAACGTAGCCTACTTCTCTAAATAATAATAATCACAACAATAATAATACATTTTATTTAAACATTATTTAAAGGAAAATATTTTTTGTCCATGGTTTAATTTAGTAAATCTGTTTTTGCAGCGCTTCCCCAAAAAATTAAAGGACACAATTTTAAATTTACATTTGATTACAACCGTTTTTGATAATATATTTGGATTAAATCATAAAAAGAAACATTAATTTTCTGAATAAAATACATTTCATAGGACAATATTTTTCTTAAACATTTTAATAAATTATTAATGTTAAAAATAAGTTGTTAATCTAATTCATTATCAATTATCAAATTTAATTGATTAGACATGTTTTATTGAAATTTTAATAAACAAAACAAACAAATGGTTTCAAGTGTGTTATAATAAAAGCATTTGTTCATCCCAAAAAAAAAATCCTGTTTTCATTAATTTAACTGTCATTTTAACTGATGATAATAATAATAATACCCATAATTTAACAATACAGTTTATTTATTTAATAATTGATTAATACTGTAAACCGTGATATTTTCTGAGACGTTATCATACTGTGAAAATCTCATACCATTACAACCCTACACGGGAGAGTCCCCCACCCCCGCTGTTAAAAAAGTTACTCAGTAACTTTTACTTTGAGTAAATTTTAAATGAGCTACTTTTTACTTTTACTTGAGTAGATTTTTAGACCGGTACCTTTACTTGTACTTAAGTAAAATTTAATTGAAGTAGTAGTACTTTTACTTGAGTAGAATATTTTATTACTCTTTCCACCTCTGATACATGCATGTTTGCATGCCCCACCATCTTTATTGTGGTGTCAGATTGTTTTATTGTTATTTTCACATTTACATCAAAAGTGTGGCTTGTGAATAAGTAATGTTCTATTTAATCTGCGTGTCTTTCCCTGTTCTGGAGACTTTCTTACTACTGTGGTTCAATAGTGGTGTGATCGCGGAGTGTGCATCGGTTAGAATGCAATGGAATAGGATGGATGGATCTTTATGTTTTTTTATTTTCAGATGGGAGAGTATAGAATGACTAGTTACATATACGTGTGTGGTTCTGTAACAAAACAGACAGTAAAAGGAATATTAATTACCATTTACATACAAATAACAAAAAATAGTAGTGTAAATATAACCTGGGGAAATGAGAATTTAACCAAAAGAAGATAATAGGTATAATTCACCATATATTCACTGTAATAATGCAGTCACATGCTATCACGCAGGCCCGAAAGCCTTCACCACTACGCAGGACTACTGCTATTACACATAAATAGACACTACTACACTACTAATCAACAGAACTGATATACAGGTGACTGCACTAGCATAATAGGATGCTATCAACCAACTAAACGTAAAATAGAATGAGCATTAAGTGCGCAGGAAAAACATGATTTGTCTTAACATCTTAGCTCAAGTGCTAACAACAATGAACGAGAAAAAATAATGCCAAACATACTCTAGTAACACTCTTATACACTTTAACATTACAGACATTGCACAGCTAAACACCCACCTGTCTCAAGGACGCACACAGTGAAGAAAGGAAAAAAAAAAAACGAGGGAACATGCAACTATCACCGATGCTCTGGGCCGACTAAATAAACACAGAAGCTTTCCTTATTCACAAATGGCTGCGCCCCTAATTTGTCGGCCTGGGAACTGCATGGAAACTAAAAATACTGTATATAAACAGTCTTGTCTTTTCAACATTCCCATTAAAAACACAGAGACAATTTTTATTAAAAAATTCTAAGCGTTTCTTTCCAAGACTATACTTTTATCATGGTTGCATATTTAAGTAGTGAACATTTCATTTCCAAACCATTTCCCACACCATAGTAATACATATTCACCTTCTAAAGTTCATTTCCAAAATATTAGATTTTTGTTGTTGTTCTTCTTCTTCTTTTTGAAAATACTATCTTATTATATTCACAAATTCATTTTAACAATTTCAGTTATAGAAATTCAGTTGAAAATTACACCTAGCACATCTGGTATTTCCAGGTAAAGAAACAGAACAAACTTCACTTGCTGACATGATGTCTTACCAATAGATGTTGGAATCAAGTGCAAATTAGTCATGTTTAATAATCTAGTGCAAAGGGTGTCGAGTGTTGTAATTATATTCATATCTTTGTTTTTGTCAGGTGTTTGAAATTTTACAGACTGTCCTTCGTCCAATCAGCATTATTTTATATTAATTTTTTTTCTTCTTTCTTTTTAATTTTAGTGGAGTCAGAAGGACCCAAAAAGGACATCGTCTTTTTGATTGATGGCTCTGAAGGTGTTGGCAGAGAGTTCCCAATTATCCAGGAGTTTGTGCGCAGAGTTGTGGAGAACCTCAATGTTGGTGAGAACAAGATTCGAGTTGGCGTGGTGCAGTATGGAGATTCTCCATATGCAGACATATACCTCAACTCACATAGGACAAAAGAAGGTGTCCTAAATGACATCAAGGAACTCCGACAACGTGGGGGGAGACAGCGCAACCTTGGTCGGGCCATTGATTTTGTTGGACGTGAAGTTCTGGTTTCTGGACGTGGTGGAAGGAAACAGGAGGGAGTTCCACAATTTGTTGTTGTGGTTTCAGGAGGAAAAGCAACAGACAATATAAGACCATCTGCAACTGCACTGAAACAGTCAGGAACTTTCCCCCTTAGCATAGGAACAAGAGACGTGAGCCCTCGGGAATTGCAAGTGACCTCCTATGTCCCCAGATTTGCCTACACAGTTGATGACTTGCCTGGTCTTTACACAATTCAGGACAAACTCATCACCACCCTGACTGAGCTATCTAGTGAGGAGTTAGCCAATTTGCGCCCTGTATACCCTACAGGTAATTGCAATCATTTCATAATTGGTTTTCCTAGTTGATGTGATAATACCTCTGACCAGCATGAATTTCCATGCCCCATCCTGGTTTTTTATAGTTAGTGATGGTCAATATAGTGGATCAGTAAAACTTCTAAGCTCATGAAGCTGGTCATATAGTATATTTTGTCACTTACTGCTGGTTGAACATAGAAGTCTTGCTGGTTAATCAGTTAAGAAGATTGCTAACAACACCAGCATTCTATGCTGGGAACAGCATCTAATATGCTAAATGAAGATCAGGAGTCAAAGTTGAAGTCAAATCAGTTGTCAGATAGTTTACTAAAGACAAAGTTCTCCACAATTCCAAAGGCCTTAGGAAATTAGTTAGAGCAGTGTTCAAAGTGGGCCGGTACGCACTGGTACGCAGTATCTGCACTTCTATATTTTAAGCTGTAGCGTACCCTAACTTTTTCTTGCATACCGGCACTTTTCACATGTTGCAGGTACCGGGGGCATCACTAGGTCCTTTTTCTACTCAGCCCCCCTAAAAAGATCTGTAATCTGTACATTAATTTGTGATTGTCTCAGTACCCTTTAAACCTCATATGAAATTGGCGTCAGGCTTCAGCTCCTCCCCGTCTTTTAGTCAGCGTTATTCAGAGTGTTCTTCAGTCCGTAGTGGCGCACGGGTGCAGAGCCAGCGTCAGAAGCAGAGGACAAGGTGTGTGTTTATCGATAGCTTGTCATGATATCTGCATCTGCAGTTCTTTGTCATGAATGCTGTTTACATAATGTGATGCGGGAGCGATACAAGGCAAGTTATGAGATACGAGATTCTCATCCACTGTAAAGTTTTCGTTGCATTCATACCTTTTCACACATAGAAGACGAAACGTGAAGAAACACTTAAGAAGTATTATTCTGGATGTGGTATTAACATCATGCACAGGAATTATTAGACACAATCACACTGTACAAACGTATTGGTTTAACTTAAATTAGCCTAACCTATTCATTCATACCTCATTTAAACAAAAATTTGTAGTTGATACAAAGAAAGATACATAAACTCAAAATATTGTTATCTGAACAACATTTGGGAACCTAAGCTAATTTGACAAATGATTTGTTAAAAGTTGTAATAACAAAATCATGAAATATTTTCAGTGACAGACAGCACTCAGTCAATGCACTGATTTAAACTGTGAATGACAGAGACAAAGAAACATCATGTGGAGTAATTTCATTCTACTATAATGACCCAGCAGCTGATTGTGACATGTATAGCCTTAGAGTAATATAGGGCAAATTAAACCAATTGCCAATGTAGACAATTACAGTGGTTTGTCTGTATTCTAAATGAATATTAAATGATATGATCTGGTTAGTTAAAATAATTATAATGAAATTAAATCAATATTCAGGGATTGACTTGATAGGTAGGCTAGTGTAGAACCTATTGTATATATTGTTCCTTGCTTCCCTAGTATACAAACAATATATTAAATTACATACTACACATACTAAATATGCATTAGTGGATACATTTAATGCGTTATTGACTTTCACGACTAAACAAAACAAAATACATAATCCTTCTCTGGAAGCTGGATTAAAGGAGTAAATACTGTTATTGTATTTCTAACATGGGCCAGACCCTCGGTCACCTCTCAGATAACAAATACAGACATTCCCCACAACATAAATACTAGAATGGATACACTGGTTTCTAGAAAACTTTTATTTCCAATTTATTATATAATAACTTTGTTCTGTTATGTGCAGTATGCAGTGGAGTGAGGCTAAGACTACACTAAAGGTGATGATACACAGGGCAACTTTTTGAGCAATGTTGCTGGGCAATCTTGCCAAGTGATTGTTGCTTGGGCACTTTCCCATTGAAAATGGGCAATAAATGTATATCTGGATAATTTATATCGGCCGTGGGCCCTGTGTCTCATCTGGTTGCCCGTTGAGGGCAACATTGCCCAAAAAGTTGCCCTGTGTATCATCACCTTAAGTGTGGTCAGCTTCTCCATCAACGTTTTTTTTGTTTTTAAGACATTCATGCCACAGCATCTTAAAAACACAATAATCATGGTGTGAGTGACATACTAAAACAGCCAGAGCTACCACAATAGTCAAAGACTTCTATTAATTAAAATGGCACAAACAGTTATAGTTCTTCAGTGCACATGACAAGACACAAAAAATTTATATAAGTGCCAATCTAGAGCATTTTTACATTTAAATGTACAAAATATACCAAGAATGGATATTTCCATCATCCCCATAAACTGTGAAGAGGGGAAGAACATCTTCAGAGTGGCAAAATTGATAAAGTCCAGAAGTCAAAATTTAAAACTATTTAAATATACCTGACATTCTGTATAACTATGAGTTGAGTTCTACTCGATTTGGTATTAAATCTGTGCAACTGTGTGTGAATCCTGTGGTCAGACTGTCAGTTTCATTTGTGTATTAATTGAGATCAATTTACTATTGTTATGGCTATGGTTATTGTCATATTTATTTGTATGTAAAAAAAACATTTCTATTTGTTTCGAAACATATAGAGGCTACAATTCCAGTACCTTCTGGAGATAAGAGGGATGTTGTTTTCCTTATTGATGGCACAACAAAGATGCGCACTGAGTTCCCTGCCATAAGAGACATGGTTCTGCGAGTGGTGGAGAAGTTAGATGTGGGTCTCGACAATGTCAGGGTCTCAGTTGTGCAGTACAGTGATGATCCCAAAAGGGAATTTCTCCTCAATGAGTACTCCACCAAGGATGAAGTTCGCCAAGCAATACGAAGAATGAGAAGCAAAGGTGGCAATCAGCTTAACACTGGTCAAGCTCTGGAATTTGTATCAAAGAACATCTATCAAAGATCAGCCGGAAGCCGTGTAGAAGAGGGTGTGCCCCAGTTTCTCATCCTGGTAACCGGGGGAAAGTCAAATGATGACGTATCTGGTCCTGCTAAACAACTGAAGTCAAGCCATGTTGCTCCCTTAGCAGTTGGAGCTCATAATGCTGATGCAGAGGAGTTAAAATTAATTTCTTTTAGTCCGGAACTAACATACACCATTAGGGACTTCCAGCAACTTCCAAGAGTGGAGCAACAGCTTTTGACCAAAGTCAGTACCATGACCAAAGATGAAATTGCAAACCGCACACAAGGTATTCTACTTTTTCTGGTTTTATTAAAAAGTTATTTCAGGTTAATCAACTATAACAGAACATTTGATGCCTAATTTATTCATGTCATGTTTATTTTTACACAACCACATAACCTTTTTAGAATATGCATTACATTTACTAGTTAATTTCATTTTTGTTTCTTATCAGTTGTTCTTAACTTTGGAAGAAAGGACATCATCTTCCTCATTGATGGCACTGACAGTGTTGGACAAAGTGGTGTTGCTCACATTCGTGACTTTATCTTGAAAGTGGTTGATCAGCTTGATGTACAACCTGACCAAGTTCGCGTGGCTCTGGTACAGTATGGTGAAAGACCTAAAACTGAGTTCTCTTTGAACTCCCACGACAACAAGCAATCTGTCATCTCTGCAATCAAAAGACTGCGTCACATGGGGGGACGTGGTGCTGACCTAGCTGAGGCAATAAAGTATGTGATTCGAAATGAGCTCCAGCCTTCTGCTGGGGTACGTCTAGCACAGGCTTCCCAGCACTTGGTTGTGCTCACTGGTGGAAGGTCAACATCTGATGTATCTACTTATGGCCCAATTCTCAAAGGCTCTCGGGTCAATTGTATAGGAATTGGTGCAGAAAATGCAGACCCAAGACAGCTGGCACAGATTACTACCACTTCTGATGACTTTCTGCAAGTGACTACTTTCCCAAATCTTCCAAACATACAGAGCAAGTTTATAGCCAGACTTAATGGAACGATTGCAGAGGAACCTCCCACTGACGAGCCAAGTAAGTGGAGCATTAATCTTATTGTTATTTTAGACATACTGTACATGATGCATGTATAATAATAGGCTCTAAATGTTTTATTTTGTCTGGTTTCCCGTAGCTCCTGGACTCCCACAAGCCAAAGCTGCTGACATTGTCTTTTTGGTTGATGGCTCAATCAATCTTGGCAAGGACAATTTCAAAGAGGTCATGGAATTTATTCTTAATTTAATTGACCTGTTCTTTACTGAGAGAGACAAAATTCAGATTGGTCTAGCACATTATGCTACTGATGTGACCGATGTATTCTACCTCAACACCTACAAAAATAAGGATGATATTATCAATGCTATAACTCGAGCAGAGTACAAGGGAGGTCGAGAAATTAAAACAGGCAATGCCATTCGCCATGTTCAGAACACACATTTTGTAAAAGAAAGAGGCAGTCGGAAGGATGAGGGAATTCCACAGATTCTAATGGTAGTCACTGGTGGACGGTCAAGGGATGACAGCAAAACAGCAGCATTAGGTCTCAAAGCCAGTGGCGTGCGCATCTATGCTGTTGGGGTGGGTGATATTGAGGACGAACTCAATAATTTGGGCAGTGAAGCTACTACAGTGGCCCGAGCCAGCACCTTCCAAGAGCTCTCTGAGCTGAATGAGCAGATTTTGGAAACACTTGATGATGATGTGAAAGGAATAGGACTGTGCACTGGAGTAAAGGATGCTACAAGAGGTTTGTTTGTTGTTGTTTTTATCAAGTGAAAGTTTAAGTGTACAGTTTAAGGGCCAGATTTACTAAACAGGGCAAATTAGCGTGAGAGCACAATTCCAATAAGCACAGGGAGTGGAAATTTCTGCGAGTGATCTACTGGTGACGACATGCAAATTAAAGAACACAGAATCATCCGGATAATTTCCATAATGATGAGGCAATCTACCAAGAGCAGTGCAAATTAGCATCTGGTTTAGGAGATTCTTTTTTGGGTGGTAAATAATGGGGCAAATACCAGTAAATTGACTAACATTAGTAAATCACTTTGCATAATTCCTTTAAATACTCTCCTCCCATACATTTTGCGTCTAAAAAGGAAACTCTTACAAATGCATATGAAATAAGGTATAACACTGTCCACACCTTTTCAGTGCTAATTTTTCACTGTATGTCTTAGGTAAATCCTGACAGTAGTTTTTTGTTTAAAGGTCCCGTTCTTCATGTTTTTTTTAAGCTTTGATTGTGTTTACAGTGTGCAATATAACATGTGTTCATGTTTCGCGTGTAAAAAAACAGTATTTTTCACACAATTTACTTATCTGTATACCGCTGTTTTCACTGTCCAAAAAACGGCCCGATGACTTCCTTGTTCTCTGAAGTCCCTCCTTCAGAAATACGTAACGAGTTCTGATTGTGCCAGTGGTTCCTGTGTTGTGATTCGACAGCAGCTTATCGCACGCTCTCTATGGCTCTGATCGCACGTTGCCCGGAAAGGTCACGCCTCTTACCATAAATTGGAGATGCAAGCGCTGCTGAAGTGTGCTGAAGTGCTTCTTCTCCGTGGGAGCGCAACAAGACCACGCCCCCCTTTTTTGAGTATTGCTGTGGGCGGAGATTAGTCAAAAAACTGTTCTAGTTACGTCATTAAAAAAGGAAGAGGGATGTAGTCCAAACCGGCCGTTCGCTGTAGGCTTTGAAAGGGGACTTCTGTTAAATAAAATATCTCGCTAGGCATTGAACTTTGAGCTTTATAATTTTACAGGTATTATTTATGCTCTAACAGCAACATTACACACTAACTAAAGTTTGAAAAATGGAATCGCGAAGAACGGGACCTTTAATGCCAAAAGAGGGTTTGCACTTGCGCAAGCTGTTAGTAAATCTGGCCCTAAGTGTTTTGAACAGCGGTTTTCTCTTGATTGTCATTAATCACCATCTCTTTCTACTCCCTGGCAGCCTGCAAGTTGGATGTTCTTGTGGGGTTTGACGTGGCTGCACAGAACATTTTTGCTGCTCAGAGATCATTAGATTCAAAGGTGTCTGCTATTCTCGAACGTATTACCCAGATGCAGCCCATCAGCTGCACTTCTGGCCAGGTTCCCTCAATACAAGTGGGCATGTTAGCGATGGACTCTGCCTCGGAGCCTGTTCAGCTGGACTTCACCAACAGATACACAGAGCTTCTTGAGCCCTTCAGGGCCCTCCGGAATCGTGGACCTTTTGTTCTGAATGGTGCCACAATCAAGGCTTATGCTGATAGATTGAAGAATCAGCCTTCAGACAGTATCAAGGTACATCATTTTCTTTCAGGGCAAAGCTTTAACCTCAAAATCTAACCATATTGTATGTATTATCTCTGTATATTTATCAAAAATATCTGTACTATAAATTAAATTAATTGTGGTTTTACACTCATAAAGGTTGTGATCCACTTAACTGATGGATTAGATGTCCAGTACAACATTCTGAAAGAGCAAGTTGAAAAGATGCGTTTAGCTGGTAAGCGTAATCATGATTCTAAATATGAAAATGTCTTATAAACTGCATTAATTCACAATCAAATATCAATTGGTTGTAACAATACAATCAGTTTCTTTATTAATTATTGTTGTATCAGTTTATTTATTCTCTGATACTTTTGAAACTTTTGTTGTTGATGATTTATACATCTCACAATATGTTACCACACACATTTTAATTTTGGTTTCTTTCTTTCTTTCTTTCTTTCTTTCTTTCTTTCTTTCTTTCTTTCTTTCTTTCTTTCTTTCTTTCTTTCTTTCTTTCTTTCTTTCTTTCTTTCTTTCTTTCTTTCTTTCTTTCTTTAAGGTGTTAGTAGTTTCATTCTTGTTGCACTGGAGAGAGTGCCACGATTTGAAGATGCAGTTCTCTTGGAATTTGGCCGTGGCTTCAGGTACACACGACCTCTGCGTGTCAACCTCATGGACTTGGATTATGAACTTCTAGAAGAACTGGTAAGAACTGTCCTCATTGCTCAGTCAAATAAGCAAACTAAGGGAAGACCTACCTCAATGACAAAAAGAGATAAATATGTTTGTCTAATATGATTCTGGTTGAAAAAATAAATTCTCTTTTTAAGGATAACATTGCTGAGCGGGAATGCTGTTCTGTTCCATGCAAGTGTAATGGCCAGAGAGGGGACAGAGGAGCTGTTGGTGTTCCTGGACCAAAGGTCAAATACATTTTTATTTTAAGAAACAACATATTTTAGGCTAAAACAATTTCAAATTCTGAAATTTTCTCAGTGATGACTCATGTCCACGTTTCCATGTGTGATTGTCTATAGGGTCAATCTGGTGGTCCGGGCTTCAGTGGACATCCTGGTGATGAAGGTGGTCCGGTGAGCATGAATTCGCATGAACTACTGTGAATTTCTAAAATTATTTCAAAGGCATATTTTTTACTCTCTTTTGTCTGTGATTCCTAGCTCTAGATCTAACTTCTCACTTGATTCAAAATTCCCAGTTTCTCACTATAGTTAAATCTTTTTTCCAGCATGCACTAATAAATAGACAGATCATACCTTTTCAGTGTTAGGGTAACATGTTATAAGTAATGCATGTTATGTAATCAGATTATAATGATGTGATAATTTATTAATTTAAACCATAACACTGTTGTTTCTTCTATTTATTTAATGTATTTGCTCGTAAATAAAATGAATCCTCTACCTACCCCATATCTTCTTTCTATCAGCAACCTTAAACTTTGCCATTGTCATTGAATCAATGTGCATCGTTTAATTAGAAGGCAACATTTTGTCAAAAATACGATGTTTGTGCATGTGGTATGTTTTTTCTCATGATTGTGATAATCCGTATTTTCACAGGGAGAGAGAGGTCCACCTGGTGTAAATGGAACTCAAGGATTCCAAGGATGTCCAGGTCAAAGAGGTGTTAAAGTAAGTGCATTTCAAGTAAATCTCACTTGTTAAGAAAGCAGGTTATTGCTAAAACATATTGATTGACTAATCCAATGTTGTTGTTTTTAGGGATCTCGAGGATACAATGGTGAAAAGGTAAGAACTTTTATATATATATTACTTGTGTTAAATTTGAATATATATATATATATATATATATTCAAATGATTTCATAGTGAATAATAATTATATAATAATATATTACTGTAATATAACATTTACATTGTATCATATTAAAAGAATATGTTTAATTGATAACATTTGTTTTCTTTAAGGGTGAAATTGGAGAGATTGGTTTAGATGGAATCAATGGAGAAGAGGTCAGCTGTTGTCTAGCAAACATGTTTTATGCTATGTTTTCCAGAAACATTTTATCAGTGATCTGTTGTACAATGGTTTGCAGTCAGTGTTCTCAGTGAATGCCAGTTAAAATGTGTTGTTGTCTTTCAGGGAACAAGTGGTGTTGTTGGGCCTCCAGGAGATAGAGGAAACCCTGGCCAAAGGGTAAGTCATGTAGAATAATAGTCGTGGAGTCATGTGGAATAAATTTAAAATAAATGAAGAAAATAGAGTTTATCTGATCTTTTTTGTGTGTTTCTAGGGGCCTAAAGGGGCCAAAGGCCAGGCAGGAGATGTTGGTCAGACTGGAATACGTGGTGATCCAGTATGTTATATAAATAGTCAGATATTAGTCAAGAATTTGTCGTAATTTAGAATGACTTAGTCTTCATTCAATAAGAGAATTTGATGTTGCTGTTGTTGTTATAGGGCACCCCTGGGAGTGACAACAACCAGAGGGGACCAAAAGGCGACCCAGGCGATGCTGGCCCAGCGGTATGGTCAATTTTTTTAGACTTAGTTAATCAGTCATTCTGGTGGATTTTTATATTTATTTGATTATGTCTGGTCAGACCAGAGGTCAGGACCATAGAAAATGTTCATGCATCTATATTGTAAAGTAACAAGCTTCATCTCAGCTTAATTTATAGGTCTACCCTAATAATCTAATTTAAAAGTGATATAAGTTGTTATATCAATTATTTCTCATTACATGTTATTTTAGTTTCTGGCTATGGTCAAGCTCTGTAAGACTTATTAGTTTCTGCATATCTTTTCAGTGTGGACTATAACATGTTTGTTTGTACTTTTTGAATAAAATGCACAACTGCAATGCAATCTTTGGAGTTCATTGATGTGTTTTCTTTAGGGAGAGCCAGGGGTGGATGGAACTAAAGGAGGTCCTGGTGAACCAGGCAGACGGGTATGGTTTCTCGACCAAAGGGATTGTTTTTTCTAACTTAACCGGTTCATAAATCTTCTCTTAAAACCCCTTAATCAAATGTTTAGAACCTAAACATTCTAAAGAAATTTGTACACTATTATGAAATAAAATAATTTAAATTTCTAATTTGACTTTAATAACCATTCAAAATAGTACTTGTTACCTCAAGTGTAAGCCCTGTTATCTATGGCAATACATGATTTGAAATGTTTTGTATTAGTCCATGAAATGGTGAGTGACAGATGTTCTGTTCTCTTTTGAAAAAGGGCTCTGATGGTAGAAGGGGGCCTCCCGGTCAAGCTGTGAGTAGACATAAGCTATTCCATGCCATTAATGGAAATAAACATTATTTTAACACTCCCATGGTAATCCAATTGTTGTTGTTTTATTGAATTTATTTGTGTGTGTTTTTTGATGGCCCGTTTGCATCTATAGGGTGCTGCTGGAAGACCCGGAAGTGATGGTTTAGCAGGAGAGACAGGAATTGGAGGACCTCGGGTAAATTAATAAGTTGTAAAAAGCAGTTGTGCAAAACAAAAGACCCATGATATATACATGCAAACATAATGGCTCCAATCTGGTTTACAATCTGGTTACATTTATTTTTCATGCAAATTTGCACGCATGTCCTGCAGTTTTATTATTAAATAAAAAAATATATTATAGATAATATAAATATTATGTATCTGTACTTATTTTAGGGTCCCGCTGGACCAATTGGAGCACCTGGTATTAGAGGAGAGGATGGAAACCCTGGTCCAAGGGTAAGAGAAGAAGTTTAAGCATGTTATTTTCCTTGTTTTCTCTGCTACTAAAAAAAGGGATTGTAACAAGGATTATGAATTTGGGTGCAGACAAAAGGTTTAATAACTTTATACTTGCAATAAAAAAGAGTTTTGGTTAATGACTTAACAAATGAAAAGAATAAATCTCCTGCTTTATATGAGGAAAGCATTCATCTTATTTTATATTTATTTTTAGGGACCAGGAGGACTGCCAGGACCTGCTGGAGAAAAGGGTAGAAGAGGTGCTGTTGGCCGCAAGGTACTGATCACCTTTAGCATTAGCAATTCCTTTGCCAGTCAGTTACACTCTCTTACTTCAGTTACCATTGGCAAGCTTAAGCACTTTATTAAAGAAAACATCTCACTGTCGACCTAAAGCAAAGTTTCTGGGGAGTTTGTATTTGTACAATTTGGGCAGAGGAAATTAACTCACTTTTTTTTTTTTTACTGCATTAGTGTGAGAAGTAGGATGCTCTTTTAGCTGTTACATTTCATTCTATCTTACCTGCTTTGTGTGTCACCATTGCACCTTTTATACCTTATTATTTATAAAATTATGATTCACTTTTTTCGCTTTCACTCTAAAGGGTGAACCAGGGGACCCAGGACCTAAAGGTGTTTTTGGACCCCAGGGACCCCGTGGGGAGCCTGTAAGTGAGGAGTCACAACCTACACCAGTCATACCAAATACATGTTATACATTGTAGCAATAATAACAAATAATAACCATCAGCATTATTATGTGAGACATTGATGAATAGATAGAATAATTATAAACATTAAAACATACAGCACAATGTTCATTTATCAGCCCCATCTACTGTATATTAGCAGATTGGTCTAGATGGGTAGTTAAATTCAGAATACAAATGAGAGTAAAACTAAGGAGATTTCCTGTCTATACAGGGTGAGGATGGACGAGATGGGTTTGGTGTACCTGGTCCTAAAGGAAGAAAGGTGAGTGTATGTTTCTGTATAACATTCTGTATAACAAGTATAGGGCTTAAGTCCTATTTACTCAAAATGTATTTTACACTAAACACAATTTAATGTTGTTTTAGGGTGATGAAGGTTTCCCTGGTTTCCCTGGTCCAAAGGTGAGATTACTGGAGTCTGCAGCCTTGAATGTTTTACAGCATGCACTGTAGTTTTTATACTAATGCACTTTGTGCAAAAAAATAGAAGTAACTAGATGTTAAATCTGAATCGATTGAAAGGGTGAGGCAGGTGACCCTGGTTCAAAAGGAGGACCTGGACCTAGAGGAAACAATGGCCAGAGGGTGAGTAATCTTGATTGAACTGTTTTTATTAGGTCATTACGTCCATATTGCTGGTAATGACAGATAATATGTTTTGTAGGGTACCTCAGGAGGACGTGGTGGTCCTGGTCAAAAGGGAGATATTGGATACCCAGGGCCCTATGTAAGCAAAATATTTTGATATTATACGGATTTCTTTGACGTTTTCAAAAAAATCCTGCCACAAATCTTTAAATACAGGAATGTTGACTTTGAATGAACAATGTGGCTCAGTTGAAGCATGAAACAAGGGCTGTTCTCTCTTACAAACTGTGCAACTTCCTTTGCTTTGATTTACTCAAGCTGTTGATTATTATTATTTTTTACTGGTGACAGACATTAGTTTGGCTCACAAAAATGCTCTGTGGATTAAATCCAGATTGCTCTACCCAGCTGTGTTCAGCTGTTGAGAAAGTGTTTCTCTCTTCTTCATTTTTTGCAAAAACAGGGCCTTAAAGGACCCAGAGGAGTTGGTGCTGTCGTATGTACTTTTCCTTTCTTTCACTTTATAAGTGTCTGTATTGTTTATTCCTACTTAAATGTTTGGAAAATTAATGAACAATTTTTCTCCTTACAGCAATGTGATTTGGTCAAGAAAATTAGGGATAACTGTCGTAAGTATATTGACTCTCCAGTGTAGATCTAATTATGTTCCCTTTCTTATAGTTTGACTAGTACTTTTATAGACTTTCTTATAGTTATACTTTAATGTTTTGAAATCTTTCTTTCTTTTTCTTTCTTTTTTTAGCTTGCTGCTATGGTAAGTGAAGAGTGAACAATCTCTTCTGCATTTCCACTGTGCTTTAAGAGTTTCAAACACTCATTACGTAATACTGTACTTCCAGTTCAGCTTTTGAATATTTAATTCCTCAGGTGCTCAGGAATGTCCCCTATACCCAACTGAGTTGGCCTTTGCCCTGGATTCATCAGATGGTGTATCACGCTCTGCTTTCAACAACATGCGTGACACTGTTCTCCGCTTGGTCAGTGACATCACTATTGCTGAGAGCAACTGTCCCCGAGGCGCCCGTGTTGCTCTAGCGCTCTACAACAATGAGGTGACTACCGAGATACGCTTTGGAGATAGCCAGAAGAAGCGAGCACTTGTTGAGCGAGTTCAAGGGCTCCAGGCTCAGCAGACCCGTAAGCAACGCAGCTTGGAGACAGCCATGAACTTCATTGCACAGAACACATTCAAGAGAGTTCGCAGTGGCTTCCTTGTGCGTAAGGTTGCTGTTTTCTTTGTCAACGGCCCTGTTACAGTCACACAAGAATTCAGTGCCGCTGCTCTGCGCCTCTACGATGCAGGAATCTCCTCTGTATTCCTTCTTAACCGTGAAGATCGTCAACTCACAAGAGCCTTGCAGGTAGGAGCAGCATAAGGCCAAAAATTGTAATTGGCGTCTTTAAGAATAAGAACTAGTTTCATTCCATTTCCATTAGTGGTGGTAAATGTTTTCATTCATCCAGTATGTTTCATCACTCATCTAAGTGGCTTCGTCAGCTGTCCTTGTGTGAATGCCCTTTGTCTTTACACATTAGAATACTGTTCAGAAAGTGTAACAGCCATACAATGTTGGGCCATTGTGACAGTTGTTTCATTGCCCCAGTATATAAGCTTGACCTCTTTGTACTGAAATGCATATATTGTGTAACTTTACTTTGGTGTTGGTCTCTGCCTTAATTCTTAGTTAAGCTTAAAATGTTCAGGTCATAGACACAACAACTGTGATTGTAAAAAAAAAAAAGCCAAGTAACTTCACACCTTCAGTGAGCTAATTTCCAAATCAGATTGCAGCTTACATCATTTTGTAGTGTTTGATGTTGTGAAATGGGAAATGCTGGGAAATGTCAACCTCTTGGACGAATTAACTGTAATTAACTCTACATAAACTTTACCTGCCAGGTGTAATAAGTGTTTTAGTGCAACAGTTGTATATTAAGTGAAAACTTGACCTAACCGATGTTCTGATTAGATGTTTGGTGTAAACGAAAGCTTATCATTGTTACAATCACTCTGTTTCAGCTTAACAACACTGCGTTAGCCCAGATTATTGTCCTACCCTCACCTGGAAGTGCTGAATACAACAATGTAATCAAGAAGATCATGACGTGCCATATCTGCCTGGGTAAAACTGTGTTATCATGTTCAGCATTAAAAAAAAGCCTCCAAACTAGTAATTTATTTTAAATAAAACCATGAATATAAACTTTTTAAAATGGCAAAACAGTAGCAAAAGAGAATGTTTGAATGGAATATTTCATCTGTCACAATTCTTTTAGACTTCTGTGCCCCGGATCAGATCTGTGATTATATTCCTCCACGTGGAGTCCGAAGCCGGAGGGATCCCACCACTGACTTGGACATCGACATGGCCTTCGTTCTCGATAGCTCAGAGAGCACCTGGCCCTCCGTCTTCTTAGAGATAAAGCAATATGTGGCTCTAATGACAGAGCAGCTTGAGATGTCCCCTGAGCCAACCAGCACTACCCATCATGCTCGAGTGGCACTTGTCCAGCATGCACCTTATGAATACTTGCACAATGGCAGTGGCATTCCCATCAGGGTGGCCTTCGGTTTGACAGATCACAACTCACCAAACAGTGTCCGAAGCTTCTTACAGGATAAGGTGCACCAGCTGGAGGGTGGACGTGCCCTTGCAGCTGCTCTTGATGGCACTGTTGAGCATGTGTTTGAGAAGGCACCACATTCCCGCCACTTGAAGGCATTAGTTCTGTTTGTGACTGGACCAGTTGAACTGCACGAGGAGAGGATAATAAGGGCCGCTACTGAAGTTAAATGCAAAGGGTACTTCATAGTGGTAATGGCAGTTGGAAAGCTGTTCAGTTCAGGTGATGTCCGTGTCCTGGCCCAAGTGGCAAGCGAGCCTTCAGATGTGTTCTTTAAGAGGGTGGATAGACCTTCAGGCTTCTATGATGACCATATTCAGACATTTGCTAGACTGTTGCCCAAGTACCTCGGCCGTAAGTTATCATTTAACATTCTCAAAATGTTTAGGAAAGTTGCCTTATATACCCAATGATGTATTAGCCTGTCATTTCATACCAGGTTTTTCTCCAGGAACTGTCACTAACAGTTTCTTTATTCTTTATATATAGTTGAAAATGCTTTCTACTTGTCGCCTGAAGTCTCTAAGAAGTGCCAGTGGTATCAGAGTGACCAACCACACAAAGTCCCATTCACTTTACCACAAACAGAGGAGTGAGTATATACTTATGAGCAAAGTTCCCTGTAAACCGCACATGTACGCATTTGATGTTGCTCCTGCATAGACAGACAGACAGACAGACAGACAGACTCAGAAGACAGAGAGTACTCTATGAGTTGCTAATTAATTTAATTCATGTTAATACTGAGTTTGTCAATATATTGTGTGAATATCGCTATGATGTCATTTTTCAGGAAACACCAGAAGCATTATGGACAGCAGGAGGTTCATGATACAAAACATAAAGGTACTGACAGTATACGCTGTAGGTTGTGTGTATTTGTTTATAAAACAATGTTTAGGGTTTAAGTCATGTCACATTATGTGAATGTGTTTGTTCAGAAACAGGTATGGAGGAACTGCATCTGGTTAACGTCACCTCCAGCGGATTCTCCCTCCAGTGGTTGAGTGGCGATTCAAAGGCAACCCATGAGGTTACTGTTACTCGTCTGAAGGACCATAGTCTGGTACTGAGAAAAAATGTGACCGGCAGCCATCTCTCCATTACTGAGCTGGAAGCAGCCCAAACCTATCACGTAGTGGTCAACTCTCAGAATGTCAATGGCCATGTTACCAGCACCTACAAAGGCATTGTACCCACAAGTAAGCTCATCATGTTTTCACATAAATGACTATTTGTGTGATCATGAATTAAAGCAACGTACTGTCATGTAGTTGAGATTATGTTAAGTATGAAATGATAAGTAATGACATGAAAAGGTATGCTTTAAATGTCGTTAACAAAATTCTACTCCACTATAAAGCAGTATGATTTTTTATTTTTTTATTTCAGTGGAACACAAAAGAAGTTATTTAGCAGAATTTCTAGATACTGTATAGAACAAGGAGGCAATCATTTAAATCGTTATACAGACATTCTGCTGCAGATTAATTGTGGTAGATTTATGATAGATGAGTTTCCAGTGTGCTTAACTCCACAGAAAAAAACTGCACTAAAACCTTATTTGGTTAGTGAAAGAGATTTGCGACCTGTGCTGGAAGACAACATTTTCAGTGAATAGCAACTTATGGTCTGTTTCTCACAAACTTATTGTGTGTCTTTGACTTCTACTTTTCGAGAGCTTTTTGAGGGGTTGGTCAGCCCTAGTTCTTATTTATTTCTATTTTTCTTATTCAAAAAAGCAGACTAGATATCTTGCTAAATAGTATCTTTAATGATCCCTTATCATGAAAAATCATACAGGTTTCCAACGTCAGTAGAGTGAATCGTTGATGTAAATAAATTTTTTTGTGAACTGTTCTTTTAATGTTGGGCTCTGCAGGATGACATTAACCTCATGATCATCTTTTTAAACAGAATCAGCACACCCGAAGGTCCTTACTGTAAGTGATGTGATGGGGATTGTGCCCACTGCACCCTTGAGTAAACCAGAAACAAGTAAGTGACAGAGAATTTGCTCAACAGATTGTATCAGTGGATTTTTTTGTTGTTGCATATTTTATTAGTATAACTTAAAGAGCAAAGAGGTTGATGTGTGGGTTTTTTATTCACCCTATGAATGCTTGCCAGAAAACTGAGCAATGAAATATCAAGTAAACCTTAAATTTGTCCTTTTTAACAGAATCAGCTGAACAGAAAATTCTTAATGCCAGTGAAATGATTGGGTTGATGTCCACTGCACCTTTGAGTAATCCAGAAATTAGTAAGTGACAGATTAGTAGAATACAGATTTTTTTCTGAATATGATATAACATAAAAAGCGGCAATAATACTGTATTTTCATAGACCTGGCATGTACATAGTTCAGAGTTTGAAAGTATTTATGATTACTGTAAACTAAGATCCATGCAGGAGTTAGTTAACTTCAGATTTCTTTTGAACAGAATCAGCAGAACAGAAGGTTATTACTCCAAGTGAAGTGATGGAGATTGGGCCCTCTGCACCCTTAAGTAAACCAGAAATGAGTAAGCAGCATGAAGGATTTTCTCTATAAAATATAAGAAAGAGGCTTTTTCAGCTAATATAGTATAACAGGCACAGCTTTTGTAATCGGAATCGGTTCGTATAAAGCAAATACTATCAACAGATTCAGTCTATTCCCCTTAATTTATTTTGATGGCCCTTGCTTTAGTACTGTTATATAGTTCAGAGTTTAAATGTGAATGCATTATTGTTGGCTGAAAACAATGATCTCTGTGAGATCCAATTAATTTCATATTGGTCATTATGAACAGAAACGGCAGAACAGATGGTTCTTGCTCCGAGTCAAGTAATGGGGATGGTGTCCTCTGCACCCTTAAGTAAACCAGAAATATGTAAGTGATACAGACGATCAACCACTGTATATCAGAAAAAAAGTATTTTTACATGTCCAATATAGTTTTAATATGTAAAACTTGATATTGTTTGCACAAACAGCACATGCATCAGCATAATAATAATAATAATAATACATAAGTCTTATATAGCGCTTTCCAAGGAACTCAAAGACGCTTTACAAATGAAACAAACAAACAAAGAAACAGTCAATGATGAGAGTGCTATTATAAATTGTAGGCAAGGTGAAACAGGTGGGTTTTGAGCAGTTTTTTGTAGGTGGTCAGTGAGTCCGAATTTCTGATGTGGATGTGGAGTGAGTTCCAAAGGGTGGGGGCAGCGATGGCGAATGCTCGGTCCCCCAAAGTTCGGTGTGTTGATTTGGTGATGGGTTTGAGAAGGCCCAAGTCGGCAGAGCGGAGGCGTCGGGAGGGGCAGTGATGCTGCAAGAGGTCTGTGAGATATGGAGGTGCCAAGTTATTGAGGGCTTTGTAAGTGATGAGCAGAACTTTGTAATGGATGCGCTGTTGTACAGGGAGCCAGTGAAGCTGTTGAAGGACGGGGGTGATGTGGTCTCTGGAGCGGGTGTGGGTGAGGAGGCGGGCAGCGGAGTTTTGAACGTATTGCAGTTTTTTTTTATCAGAGGATGGGAGACCATATAGGAGACTATTGCAGTAGTCGAGTCTTGATGTAATGAAAGCATGAATGAGAGTTTCCGCAGCAGATGTGGAGAGGGTAGGGCGTAGACGAGCAATATTACGTAGGTGGAAAAAGGCAGTTTTGGTGATATGACGGATATGGGGCTTAAATGTGAGTGAGGGGTCAAAAATGAAACCAAGATTTCGGATCTGGGGAGAGGTGGTAACTGTATGGTCATCGACGGAGAGAGTGAAGTCTTGGAAGGAGGGGAGAAGTGATTTGGGACCGATGACGATGATTTCCGATTTATTGCAATTTAGTTTAAGGAAGTTGGCATTCATCCAGGATTTTATTGCAGAGAGGCAGGTTGTGATGGTTAATACTGTGGCAGGAGTGATGGATCTGGTGCTGAGGTATAATTGTGTGTCGTCTGCGTAACTATGGAATTTTAATCCATGCTTATGAATGATAAGTCCAAGTGGAAGCATGTACAGGATAAACAGAAGGGGACCTAGCACCGAGCCTTGAGGGACTCCGTGATTGACGGGTATGGTGTGGGACGTACAGTTGTTGATGGATATGAATTGAGATCTGTTGGTGAGGTAGGAGGTGAACCAGGATAGAGCTGAGCCAGAGATGCCAAGATGTTGTAGGCGTTGTAAAAGGATGGAGTGGTCAATGGTGTCGAAGGCGGCAGAGAGGTCAAGTAGGATGAGAATGGAAAGGGAACCAGAGTCAGAGGCGAGCAGGAGGTCATTTGTTACTTTGAGTAGTGTAGTTTCAGTAGAGTGATGAGTACGAAATCCAGACTGAAAGGTTTCGTAGAGCTGATTTGATAGGAGGTGGTGTTTTAGTTGAGAGGCGACCGAGCGTTCCAGGATTTTAGACAGGAAAGGTAGATTAGAGATGGGGCGGAAGTTGTTGGGGTTGTCAGGATCCAGGCCAGGTTTTTTAAGTATTGGTGTGATGGCTGCAACTTTGAAGGAAGAAGGAACTGTTCCAGAGGTGAGAGAAGAATTGATGATAGCCGTGATGAGTGGGCTGAGGCAGGGGAGGCAGTGCTTGAGCAGTGCAGATGGAATGGGGTCCAGGGGACAGGTTGTCCCATAAATTAATTAATGTTTTTCATTTACTTGTTTGTGAGATTCTCAGACAAGTTTTCTATTTGAATTTTTGGAGAACATCTTGTTTAAATTATACATCGAAGCAGCAGTATTGTGGGTGCTTTGGGATAAAAAAATCATGGCATTAGAGGTTTCTTGTATGTCAGGCTTGTGCAAGATCAACAATGAAATGTCTGCATGCACAATATTAGTTTTTGTACTGATTGTTTAAAAGATAAAAATAACAGTTAAACTTGTCAATTTAAAAGTCATAACAGCTTAGAAACCTGCATGTTAAACAGGGCTTTGTAGTGTGGGAGTATTGAAGAATCTGTACTATAAATGATTTCTTGATTCTGTTCTGTTATGATTGAGGTATTTAGCATAGTAAAGCAAGAAGATCATTGTCTTATAAGTTGGTAATAGGGAACCCCTTTTCATTCAGGGCAGTTTGACTTTTAACATAAATGCATCTAAAAAAAACTAACATAGATTATATTGAACTACACATCATTTGACTTGATAACCCACTAACAAAGTTTAATACTTACTTTGAAGGAAAACAGTGATCGTTTCACATAAAAGGCATGTTTACTCTATGGGGGTTATGAAGCAGACATTTGTGAGATGGCCCCAGCACAGACACAGTTAATGAGACTGACATTGCACTAATTACCTGCAGATGGCACTTGTACAGCATATAAATCAAATGAACTGAAAATGGCAGTATGTGTGCTTTAAAGTGGTTTTGGATCAACAGTGCTGACAATACTAAAGTGAATGCACTAAACTTACTCCTATTCTGAGCCAAAGATGTCTAATCTGTGAATAGAGAACTGTATGTCTTTTGGTGGCCTTTCCAAGTGTAACATACAACAAATCTTAAACATTACAGTTTGAAATCATGCTTTGATTTGAAAATGAAACATGGTTTGCATATTCCTGATTTTGCTAACCCATTAAAATAATTAGTTAATCCCATATGAGCTATAACAATCACCTAATATCTACAGACTAAATGTTAATTTTACTGACAACACTAACTGTCTTTGTCTTTTCTCTTTCGTGATAATACCTCTTTGTTTGTCTCTGTGTTTGCATGTTTCAGTTAACAATTTTATGGACCCATGCTCACTTGACTTTGACACTGGACTGCCATGCAAAGATTACCAAGCTAAATGGTACTTTGACAGAAAGAATGGATTCTGTACACAGTTCTGGTATGGAGGTTGTGGAGGAAATGACAATAGGTTTGAGACTGAGGCTGATTGCCTCAAACGCTGCATGAAGACAGGTATGTGCGCCCTTTGACCCCTTGACCCGAACTCTGCAGCAATCCATTTGCCCTGTTATCTATATTTAGGAGACTTCATGATTGAACAAAAAAAAAATACGAATGAATAAAATCAGTCTATAAAAGCAGTTTACAGGTTGCAGTACTCATGTCAAAGTCTTAAAACGCTTAAATCCCAAAATAGGATGAAATCAGTGCAAACTCTTGCTACAAAATTAGACTACTTGTCAATTAGATGATTTATCTAAATCATTTACAGCACACTAAATGCAGTGCCTTACTCGGATATCATTGTATGTTTCACCCAGTAACTCTCCAGCACTGACCAACAATAACCGTATATTACTAGCCTAGAGACTTTCCCTCGTGGCTACTAGCACTCTTAAAAGGAAGTACAATAAAATGAAAGATAGGAAAATGATTGTTCGATTATTTATTTATTTTTTCTTACTACCACAGTGGCTGAGTATAAAGCAAGTGACAAGCATGTCAAAGCTGTTCTCCCCCCAGCACCAGCTCCAGGTCAGTCCACCGGTTACATTAACCTCTAAAAACCTCTTGAACCTTTTTGTGATGAAGTGTTCAAAATTCTGTTATAGGACCACTTTATTAAAAATGTGCTGTACTGTGAGTAATACATTTGCAATTCAGAAGAGATCAGATTATGTGTAGTAATCACTGATGCATGTACATTGATTTACACAAGAAACAGGGTTCATGGATAATAATGTGGAAAATATGGCCCATGTGAAGGTTAAGAACTGCCTTCTTGCCAAAGACCTTTGAAAATGTTAAGACAACACCTCCTTACTTGTTATGTAATGCACAGTCCTTAGTGAACAATACTTTACCACTTTTTGATGACCTCTGGAAAGAATACTGTTAAATCATTGTGTAAATGTGGTATCAAGTGAACTGAAAGGTCTGTATAGCTATAGCTAATTTTAGGGCAAAGTGCAATGTTTCAAGAAACTGTGTTGCAGATGACACAACATGTAAAATGCCAGTGTCCACAGAGGACAACCCTTGATGCCATCTAGTTAACCAAACAAACCTGCTAATTTTCCAAAACCTCACTAAGATCCAGTATATATGTAAGGCTTTTGCAAATAATTAGATATTGTATTCAATTCTGTCATTTTTTCTCATCCTCACTGCGCTCTCTAACAGCTGCCTTGCACTCCAGTGTGGGTATCTGCAAGCTACCAAAAGAAGAAGGTTCCTGTGCTAAATTTATGCTAAAATGGCATTATGACCCACTTAGTGGAAACTGTACTCGCTTCTGGTACGGAGGTTGTGGAGGGAACCAGAATCGCTTTGATACACAAGATGAGTGTGAAAAGGCCTGTGGAAAAGCAGGTGAGATTACTTCTAAAAATTGCATGTCAAAGTGATATTAGTGTGAAGATTGATTAAGCCATTACTTTAACATTATTTGTTTTTTAACAGCACCTGTTAAAGAAGGGATAATCGCTGCGGTTAAAACATAGAAACTAATGAAGACTGTAAGCTAACCACTGACGACATTTAGAGGAAATAGCACCTAAAACTAGAAGCTTCACCACAGCCAAGATGCCTGCACTGGAACCTGCCAGAGGATTTGATCCAAAGAAAACCTTGAAGTACTAGTATTTTCCAAATAAGAAAAAAGAAAAAAGAAAAAAAATTAAAAGCAAGTTTCTTTGTTTCGTGCTGGTGCTACAATCAGTTTCTTTAATATTTTTTAATTGTTTTATTTTTAACGTGTGTATGGGTTTGTATGAAACCCAGTGTAAATGTCCAGGGCAAAATAGCTTCTTTTTTTTTTTAAGAATGTTGTTCCGTTTTAATCACATGGTTTGTTTGTGGAAATATTTTGATCAAAACATATCAATAAATCTTTGTAGTTATGAGACAGGTTCATGAGAGTTTAGTTTAATTTAGTAAAGTCTGCTCCTACTGCAGTACCCTTATTATGTTTTTTTACTGCTTGGAAGGAAGAATCTTAATTGCTCTTTTTGGCCATACCGCTGGAGATCTCCACTGAAGATCCCCACTGAATCTCCAAGCAAATGCTATGTTGATGTTTTCAAATTAGGTAATTATAAAATGACCATCATCTGAAAAAAATAACTATGCACTTTTGGAATCATTGCCTTACACACACAAAAAAAGCAATTGGAATGTACTGTTCAGACTGTATTTTTGGGGGGTTGGTGTTTTTTTTGTATTTTTTTTTTGTATTTGGAAATGGGAAGATATAAATAAATTAGTCTTTATATAAAACTTTGATTTTGATTTGTCCCTTCATTTTTTACTTATTGTAATGCATTAGAAGCTTAAAATTATTTTACTCCTACTAGGCTGCTGTGAGTCATGCTGAGAAGAATATCCCTTTTTATGACTCTGAGCATTCAATTATAAGTAATGCTAAGAGAACAAGAAATTAAATGGACAGATGTGACATTTGCATGCTCAAGGAAGAGTATTGTGTTTAATGCAGTAAGCATTAGCAGCTTATATTTCATAGTTCCATGAACAAGATTGTCTCCTTCCACAACTTGATACATGGTTCAGACTTTGAAAAATAAAATGAAATGAATCAATTCATTCAAAGTGCAGGAACCTGAGAGTATATCAAAAAGAGGTATGCTTTTGAATTCCTCTGTTGCACCAAGGCAGTTATTTCCTCTCTCTCTCCTGTAAATGTTGTATTTTTTTTATCATGATGGAAATTACCCCAAATCAAGACTGTTTGGGGAGGACAGGCAGCTTCATCAGCAGACGTTTTATAAATCAAAGTTTGTTATCTTCAGTTGCCATAGAACTTAAAAAACATTTCACTGTGAACTCTATGTGACCCAATTTCTGAGTTCTGAATTTAAAAATACAGCATGTTTTCATAGGAGCACTTCCTTATTAAACACCTGAAACCAGTTCCAGCCATTTATATTCACAAAATAAGGTTATTAGCTAATTAAAGTGTATAATATCCATCAACAGCTGAGGCGATAATGCATGAATTATTATCTGGTTTTCCATTCTTAAATTGTGCCTCAATTGGCACGTCTTATATCACCATATAAACAATTTACACAGCGTCTCAGTCTGATTTGTTATGTACACTTGTTGTATTTTTCTCTGCCAGTCTGTAAATCCATCACTGCAGTATATACGAATTATGTTCAATCCTGAGCAATCTGCACGTGGCCTTGTGGGCTTTGCAGCAGTCCCTCTGGCCCCTTCCCATGCTGAGGTTAACTGTATAAGAAATGTATCAGTGCTTTCCAATAGGTGCCTGCAGAGCTGAATGCCAGTGTTTGGTTTTCACCACTGTTGTATTTTACCATTTTTATATTGCGATTTATTTATTTTTAATCCTGTTTTAATGCAATGATTCATTGTGATTGAAAGATGTCATTCTCCACTTCATCAATGTCTCATGTTTCAGCTACTCTAGCTAATGTATGCTTTGTAAAGTACTATGGTCCTATTTAGTTCTTTTTCTTAAAAGTTATTCTTTCTTGTGTACTACACAGAATTAAAGCACAATGCACTGAGAGTGCTAAATCAACAGTGCATATGCGCATTGATATTTACAGAAGTTTTTTAGCCTTCTCCTTTTTAGATAATATGTGAAAAAAATGTGTGCCTTGATTGCAATGCCGCTTTGGATACAAGTGTCTGCCACATGCATGAAAATTTTAAATAAAAATCTTTTTATCATAGGTTACATTGAAAAGCAAGAGGAATTTACTATCAATGGGGCTGAAATCACTGTCACAGCCATACCAAACAGAATTCAGAATACTTAGAAGTTTTAGGTATATACTAAATCCAAAATATACTCATACAGTGATTCTGAATCTGTGACCATTCAAAGAAAAAATGTTTTTAATAAATTCACATATATTCTTCTAATACTGACCTTTCAAAATTTCCCTGGATTCTGGATTTGTTTTTGTTTTTTTCCATCCGGAGATTAAAATTCATCACTCACCCACTATTTTAAAATACAGTCTTAAAGGGGTCATATAATGCCATTTTTGTACAAGTTAATATGAATGTTTAGGGTCTAAATGAAAACTTTGTAATATACTTTTATTAAAAATTCTCATTAAAGGGGTCATATAATGCCATTTTTGTACAAGCTAATATGATTCTTTAGGGTCTAAATTAAAAGTTTGTAATATACTTTAATTAAAAATTCTCATTAGTATTGTAAGAAAACACTTATTTTACCTGGTCAAAAACAGCTCTGTTTTCAGCACGCCGTTTCAGTGCTTATGACTTTAAATGATAATGAGCTTTGCTCACCCCGCCTCTCTGTTCTGCGCATACACCGTTTGTAACACAATAACACAATACCATAACGCGTTGTTCATTATAAACGTGGGATTATGAATTATATTGAGAACGTTGTACATAGAAAACATGCTGTAATGTACCCTGAGTGTAAACCGAGTGTAAACCATCGTGAAGCGTGCAGCTGGCGATTTGCAAAGATTAATATAAATATTAATATAAAGATTAATAAAACGTTACACTCACTTTAGTTCTTCTGAAGGTTCAGCAGGAAGACTAGGTTCCGATCCTTTATTCAGGTGCAGCTTCTCAGCAAAACCAACTTTACACTGATCCTCGTTTATAAAGCAGTCCACTGAGAAATGATTCGGCAAACATGAGAGCATTGACGTTGCTCGTGGGGAATATTCCCTTCGAAAACAAACTCAGCCACTGCGTCTTCAGCGGTTCGGATTTAGGAACATCATTATTACACCCAAGAACAGAACACCACAATCGCTTAGATGCCATTCTGCTCCAGCGTATCAACAATAGCGGACTATGATGACAGCTCGCTCAGGGCGGGTCTGTGTTGAAACAATGCTGTCAATCAACAATCATGGGAGGGGCGTCCGACCGTGTGACGTCACACGGTCGAACGGCTCGATTTGAGACAAGGGAAAACATAAGGAGATTAAAACAAAAACGCTGGTTGGATTTTTATCATTATATGATGGTTGTGTACAGGCACTGCCAACACACATTTCAGTACAATCAACTTGTAAAAGTGCATGTACCGTTATATGACCCCTTTAAGAAAAATGGTTCTAAACAGTTAATTAGGGGTTTTCTGCTTGTAACAATAGCAGAACCCTTTTTGGTGCTAAATAGAACCCTTTTTATGATGTTTTATAAACAAAGTTCGGGAGGAGCACGTTCAAATAATCATTCCAATCAACTTGTCATCAAACAATTACCATGTCTACCCTATCAGCACGAGAGGAAGCATATAAATATTCACTCTGTCAACTCACCTAACATTCCTTGACAGTTTCAGCATCCCTTCACCACCCCGACTCCTCACTCTTGGCTTATCTTATTTATTTATTTCACAGCCAGGAATACGGGGGGAGTGCTCTGGGTTCGGGCCGAATACCTAACTCGGAGCCCTCTCCTCGGACAGCACGCCAAATACGCATTTATTCTATCTGACTTATTTGTAAGTGTGAACTCGTGAAATAAGGTTCCATAAAGACCCATGCTTTGAAAGTGCTATATAGGGGCTTAATGGTGTTATAAATAACCTTTTCAACAATATTTATTTTCATTAATATAGCTTCATATGATCAATATTACTATTATTAATATTATTATTTTTTATAAATTATTTATTAATATTGTTTTTTTAGTCTTTCTGCCTGGTTTTATATCTTGTTGCCTCTATTTGGGTTTTACATTTAAAAACAACAGCATGTTGTGTCAATTAGGTACTTTTATTTTTTATTGACATGGCAGATTGTAGCAAAAATTACAGTTCTAACAACAGTTGTTAGCTGAATACATTAATAAATAACAATTGACATTGAACACGATATAGATGTAATGAAGACCAAGTTCCAGTGAAATATCTTCACAATCCTCTATGATGTCTTTACGTCCTTCATTATGTGTGTATTCTGAGTAGTTTCTCTCTGCAGATGATGAGGTTATGATACGTGACAGTATCTGAAATAAACAATTGAGTTTAGTTACATTGTGTCTCTTCCATTTGATTATGTAAAAACAATTATGTTCATGAAGGCCAAAATTACCAAAAAAGGGACAGTATGAGCCCTTTACCATGTTAAAGGGATATAAAGTCATGGGATAGCTTTAATGTTTTTTTTAATGTGACGGGGTATGTTTAGGCATTAAGTCATAATAATAATTAAAAAACAAAAAAAAACAATATGGACCATGCATTCTATATCTCTGTTACTTACTTTGTGGAGAAGAGTAGATGAGTATCCTTAACTGAACAGAGCTGCTCACACTTGCATGTTCTGTTAAACTATAAAGAGCAAAAGACATGATTGTTAGGAAATGATTGTTACAATTTTTTAAGTTATAATGTATAGACATTTTAAGAAAGAAATCATTTACCTGTTGAGAGTATGTTGACAGTCTGTGTAACTGTAGTTGTTTAGCTGAGCTCCAGAAAATGAGGAGGCTTAGACAGTTACAGATTTGAAAAACAAAAAGGCGTGAATAAAGAACCCTAAACTCTAACACAAAGAACCATTTCTGCATAAAAAGGGTTCTTCAGGACATTACTGTTCTAAATAGAACGTCCTGGTTGTGTATGCAACCCCCGTTCCCTGAAGGAGGGAATGAAGGACGTAGTCGACGTCG